AACCCCCTAAAATTAAATGGATCTAACCCCCCCAAAATTTCCTTCCCTACCTAAATTTAAATGGATCTAGCCTAGATCCATTACTTTATAATAGCTTAGCGCTAGAAGAATTAATTAGGTCTTAGGTCTCTCGTACCTAGGATTTTCTACATCGTAGAACTATGCGGCGAATGCGTCGAAGTCGTCTAGTCCTAGAAGATAAGTAGGATACTATAAGCCTATACCTATAATCTAAAGTCTTAGCGTAGATGTTATCTTGTTTATAGATATTGTTTTATATATTATAGAAGTTAGTAGTAGTAGAAGGGTCTTTATTCTATTAAAGAGCTAGACGAGGGTAGGCTACGTTTAAATAGAAGCACGGCGCTAGATGTCGAGAAATAGTTGTTATTAAGCCCTATATAGGCGTTTAGGGAACACATTAATGGATAGAAAGTATAGCGAGTAGAAAGATAGACTAGAAGAACATAAATTAATTTGCATGCACGCTAGGCGCGCTAATTAATAGCGTTAACAATTAAGTTCCTATAGATTCGGATTTTAGGAAGAGCAACTAAGCTATAACCTAAGACCTCTAAGGGGGAAGGACGAGTTTAAGGTATATATGTAGCCCGACGAAAGCTATAGCTACGTAATACTCGACCTATAGCTAAACTGAACAGAAACTTTAAAGGCTACTACTAAGAGTAAGCTACATAAACTTCTAAGAAAGGGAATAGGTAGAAGATAGGCGAGAGCAACTATAGAGATTACTAATAGCTATAATTACTAAACGACAGGTCCTTATTTAGTGCCTAACGTATATGCTTTGCTTGCTACATCGTAATAATTAAAAAGAGAACTAAGCCCTAGATATAGGGTATTTATTAGCGAGGGCCTAGTATAAACTAAGAGATCGTATAAGAACCCTCTAAAGATAGCTCCTATAAAGGGTAGAGTTATAGGCATCTATAGCAATTAGCTTAAATTCTAACTAAGAATTCTATATGCACGAACCTAGAAGTAGTAACTACTAGAAGACTATACTATGCTTAGGTAGCTAACAAGATTAGAAATTAGACGACCACTTAAATCTAAAGCTAGGTTAACTACGCCGCTAGATAGGTAGTTAGCTTTAGTAACTTATGCTAGGGAGAGCTCCTCTTACCTAGTTTCCTAACTAAACGTAATCGTAACACTATAGAATAGGAAAAACATAGCAAGAGGGAAGAAATTACCTCTAGCTTTTAATACTCTATTATTATAATCATCCTTTAAAGCTAATATAATAATGTTAATGATGGCGCATAGTATAATAATTAAAAAGGCTTATAAAGCTTTAGGCGCAAAGCTCGATAGGTATATAGCAAAGATTGCTATAGTAGCTTTAGATGTTAGCAGCACTGTCTGCACACCGTCGCTAGAGTACTAATCGATTGCTAGAATGTAATTAGTATAGATTAACCCTAATCCTACAAAGTAGCCTAGGAACTAGGACACGACGAGGATTAGAATAGAGCGTAGCAGAAGACCTCTCTAGATTACGTTAGAGATAGTAAGAGTAGGGTTAAGGTAAGATCCGGAGTCGCTAGCGACGTAGATGCTAAGCATTACTCTAATACTAACACTTGTTGCTAGAATTAGTACGAGTTTAGGACTAGGAAGAATAATTAAAACTTACCCCCATAGTAGAGACTAGTATAACCTATAACTCGTTCCTCTAGGTGCGGACTAAACGCTAACACCGAGGGTCGTCTATGCTAGTGCTCCATGATAAACTAGAGTCATGATCATATAGCTTAAGAACTTAGAGAAGCCTTCCTAAAAGAGAGCGCGAATTCGAGGCTAGACTAGATTCTCGGCCCCATCAACATACGATTTGATGGGTTAATAAGGGTTTAGCCTAAATCTTCTTCTTAGTTTCCGATGTCTTTGCTGGATTGCATCGTCCGGTGCGTCGTTGTGACTAACCTTTGGAGCGAACATTGGTCTTTCTCGTTGTCGCGAATAGGATGTTCGATTAGATGGACTGTCCATGCCGTGTTACATGCGTATTTTTGAAGGTCAACCCGTGTTCCAAGGCAGGAAGAACAACACAATCTTCTTGACCCGACTAGATTTTAACCCACCAGATGCATGAAGTTTCATGAGCACAGCCGGGCGGCCATGTCAGGATGACGCTTTGCGACTCTTATACCCGGCGGCTCCGCGGAATGGCCCTTGAATCAGTAAAACATTGGAACAATGCGTCCACAAATATCTCATGTCATTCGGGAAAGCGAAGGACTGGTAACTCGAATGAAATTGAACAAGGCTCTATTCTCAAGACCACTCTTGTTGAGGAAGTATACTGCGCAAATGACAAGGCAATCTGGCGAGGAAGATTCGAACATCCGAGTCAGGGTCCATGTGGTGTCGGAGACCCTTCCCTTCCAGAGACTATGATGGATTCCGATGATACTCAGATACATGTGCTTCTCACGTCTTCATCAAGTTGTATGCTTTCCATCTCATTCAGCGACCAGTCCAGCAGAGCGCAGTATTAGGCGATAAGTCGACAACGGTATACAAGCGGAAAAGGTGCGACGCGTCATTGTGGACCTACGAGGGAGATGGCTTAGCCCCAATAATACTGGAGCTCTGTACAAAGTCACAACGCTCGACAGAGCAATGTGTAGTGACAGAGCTGTGCTATACTGTACCGGAAGGCGGGGGTACCATCTAGGGAAGATAGAGAACTAGAGAAAGATGCTTCGGCGTATGCGCAAGTCCTTCCTGCGACGGACGGCATATTACTACAACTTACTGCTCGATGTCTGCTGGCATTGCACGGGAGAGGCGAGGTAGGAAGAGGAACAGCGCCGGGGTGTGTTGAGCACCCGTCTGAGCGACTGGGCAAGGCGATCGAACGAGCGTTCTACCTTCGGCAAAACGAAGTACATGTAGTCGTTGGCGGTCCTCTCGACTCGGAGCTCCCATCTCTCTCGCTGTTGTGTATGTTCCGTCTCTTTCACTGTTTTGCGCATCGGTCGCGTTGTCGAGTCGCTCAGGTCGTCACGGAAGGATAAAAGGAGGGCGTCATTCGCTGTCGGACAGAACAAAGCTATTCGTACGAAAAGACTCGCGACGGGAGAAGCGCAAAGCGATCGCGGGCGAGGCGGACGAGTCGGACGAGGTCAAGAGGGAACAAGGATGGAACGAATCGTCGTTGCAGTGGTGGAGCCAGGACTTCTTGCGACGGCGTCATCTGGCGTCAAGTCGGTGACGATTGGCGCATCATGGGCTGAAGACGTGTCTGAGTCTACGCCCGCATGGTCGCACAAGACTTATCATGTTGCGATGTCGAGTCTTGCGTGTTGTGAGCCTTCGGAGAGGCAACGAACAAGTGAAAGCTCCGCCGCTGGAGTTGCTGATCTGCCAAGCCCGCATCGCCCGGAACCTGCGAATGCTCTCCTTCTGTCTTCCTTCTCTGCGCTCGACTACGAACAGACGTTCATCCCGTCACTTCGTGCCTGAGGAGACCACACTGCGGTTGGTACAGACCCTGCAAACCCGTCGAAGGGCAATGTCGCAACGTCTTCAAGTAGCTGTTTATGACGACGTCTTGCCAAGTCCGTTCGAGCCCTCGAGCATGTCACTGCCTCTTCCTCTTACGTCCATCTTCCACCCGTCGCTCCACACGTGAAAGTCGACCTTCTTCGATGAGTAGTCAACTCAAGTGAAGATGCAAGCTGCTTTATATCTACTAAACCCAAAAGGTTCAGCGACCACGCACGCACACTTCCAATGGGCATGAGGTTTCTCGCATCCTTTCGACCATTATCCGCGTGACAAAATCCATACGCCGAAGACAAAAAGTGGGTGGCGAAAGCTTGCTCTTTCAACTTGCTTTGAGCTCTCGCTCTTGGAGGGCTTGGTATGCTTGGCCAATATTCAACACCATGACCGCACGTCTTTTGATTTGAAGTCAAAATAACATCCACCGCCGCTTTCCAAATCCTTAGACCCTACGTTTCTAGTCCCGAACACACACTGCACATCTTCCACAATGGCTGGGTCTTTCCTTGCCTACGAGGAGCCTTCTAGCAAGTATCTCATTTCCAACATCATCTGCCATGATCGCTGATCCACTCAACAGTCGTCCTGATCCTGGTCCTGATCTCGTTCTTCTTCTTCCTTTCTCTAGCAGAATGGCTGTCGTCGATCGTCTTCCGGGCTGGCATTATTGGACCCATCATCGTTGGTATCATTTATGGTATGCCTCTAGCCGACATTTTGCTTGAGGTCTGGCAAGAGACCTTTCTCGCCATCGGCTACATCGGCCTTATTCTCATCATCTTTGAGGGTGGCCTTACCACGCGTATGGACCTTCTCAAGCAGAACTTCTTCTTGAGCATGCTGGCTGCGACGACTGGTGTGGTTTTCCCAATTGGCTTGTCCTATCTCCTCCTCTACCTTGGCTTTGGATATGGAGCTGTCGAGACGTTCATCATTGGCGCTGCTCTTTCAACTACAAGTCTCGGAACTACGTTCGCCGTCATAGGAGGCGCATCCAAGGATATTGACCTTTCTCAAACGCGCATCGGTGCAGTCTTGGTCAGTGCTGCAGTCATCGATGATGTCTCTGGCCTGGTCATGTCGAGTGTTATCCATGATCTGGGATCTCTATCCGCCGGCGGAGATGTCAATCTCGGATGGCTCATTGGCAGACCAATTCTAGCATCCATCTTGATGGCAGGTTTGACGCCACTGCTCTGCAAATATGTCTTCGCGCCAGTCTTCCGCCGCTTCATCGAACACCACTTCGCAAGATACGATCATCTCTCCAATGTCGTCCTTATGGTACTGGTCCTTTGCGCCTTCATCTCCATCGCGGCGTACGCCGGTACAAGCGTATTGTTTGGGGCTTTCCTCGCTGGCTCATTCCTCACCTATCTACCTTCCAAGCACCCTGAAGGACCTTTCGTAGTATATTCTCGGGAGCATGGCGAACAAAACGATGACAAGAGCCCCACTTTTGTCCACACCTTTGAAAAGTACTTCTCAGATGTCCAGAAATATCTGATGGAGCCGCTGTTCTTCGCAAGCATTGGATTCGCCATCCCATTCATCGATCTTTGGACCGGCTCCGCCATTTGGCACGGTGTTGTGTACACTTTGTTGATGCTTTTCGCAAAAGTAAGTTGGAGATACCTGTCATCATTTCCAAGCGCTGACAAAGAATCCCAGGTCATCGTCGGTATCTGGGTCCCGCTATGGGACGTGCTTACGAAGAAGAAGAACCAAGACGTAGCAACCTCGTCGCTTTCCAAAGCAGTTCCCCCTGCTGCTCTGCTCGGTGCCGCCATGGTCGCTCGTGGTGAGATTGGTCTGCTCATCGTCGAGATTGGGTACAATTCAACACCATACGTGAGCGATGCGGGGTTTTACACTGCTGTCTGGGCCATCTTGCTCAACACCATCATCGGTCCGATGGTCGTCGGAATCCTGATCAAATTCAGAGGCAAGGAGATTGGTACCGGTCATTGGGGAATTCAAGAAACCGGTGGGCAAGGCGACAGTGAGAAAGCGCAAGCCAGCTCTCGCGATCAGGCACTGGAAGAAGGATCTGACAGCTCACATCAATAATGATAGATCGTGCTGCAGCGGTCTATACAGCATGGTAAGTGAAGAACAAATCAAAATGTATGTAGATGAATTATAACAGACTTGTTTGCCCTTCCACTTCTCATTTGTGTTTGGTTGTGAGGGCGGAGTTCGAGATTCTTGGCTTATCTTTGCTGTGTCGTGAGATAGCGATACCACCTGCCAAAAGGATCGATCCAAGACGATCCCTGGCGTTAGCCGCACCAGCTTGACCGGAATCAAATGGCGCAATTCTGAAGCCTATAACAAGCATATACCGAGTCGCCTATCGCTCCTTGCTCATGACCTTTTTGCGCTGGCTCTGCCATCTACAGACTGTTTTTTTCCACCGCAGAGGTGACCACCCGTGAACCATTTCGATGTCTTCAGATGACCCCAAGAACCATATTATCAAGGCTGCTCAGGTTGGATTCATACACAAGTTATTCCAATCTCAGTTTGACGTTGTCGTCGAGAATGTCACCACCATTCCTCGCTGCAACAACAACTTCATTCATTTTGTGACTTTCGCATCGCCCATCGCATCGGATCTGGTCATATCTGGAAAGCCCGGAGCTATCGCAATCCCAGCTGGAACTGCAAAGGTCGTCTGTCGGATTGGAAATCCTGCAGCGATGTTCAATCATGCCGTCAAGGTCGAGAACACCGTCGCAATGATGCAGCTCACTCGTCAAGCACTTTCTGGACTTGACATTGTACCGAGAGTCTTTGCTTGGAGCGAAACTGGAGAACCCTCGGGAACCGGCTGGATCCTTGAAGAGTATATGCCCGGTGTCGATATTGAAACCGAGTTTTCCACGGACGTCCCTCGTGAGGCACAGCGTTTCGTGTTCAGTCAGATGGCGACAATCTTGAAAGCAGTTCAAGACTTTGAACTGCCTCCGAAAGCCTCTGGATTTGGCGGGCTTGCTTTTGACGACAGTGGCGCTGTAACCAGTGGTCCATTTGCTGTCGAGCCATACAACGGCCCGTACCCTGACATGGAAAGCATGTACAAAGGCATGCTTCAAGCACAGCTTGTCGAGGCGGATCGATCTCGTGTCGCCCAGGGGTGGAAAGAGGATGGGCTACGAGACAGACTCGATGCTTTTGCAGAACGCGGACTCGAAGACATACTCACGAGAAGCTTGCCAGAACATGTCAGGCCGAATTTGATCATCGGCGATGTCGGTATGTTCCCTTTAGACCCACCTGTTCCCTCCACAGCAAACCAGAGCTCTGATGCTTGTGACAGTCATCGCGAATCTTCTTTTCGATCCTTGCACCTACAAAGTCACTGCACTTGTCGATTACGATTGCAGTCACACTGGCCATCCTCTACACGAATTCTTCTTCTCGTCCTTTTCAGTCAACTACTGTGTCGTCTCTGCTGAGCCTGAAGTAGCGACGGCGCTCTTCGATCAATTCCCCTCTCCACTTCCAGAATCCAAACCAGCGCTAGGAACCGAACTGCGTGACTGTAGTCCACCGCAGTGGGAAATTATGTTGATGTTTGAGGAGGAGCTGGACAAGGTTGGTGCTGCGAGACCAAGCAGTATTCAGGGCGCGAAGCAGATCACAGAGATATACGAGTTCATGTCGGAGATCTGCCCTTTTCATTTTGTGATGGATAGGTGGGTCGAAAACCAAAGTGAGGAGAAGCTGCAAACCTGTAGGAACGAGCAGAGGGTGATTCTTGAGAAAGCTTTGGCAAAATGGGGATTTTGACCAATGATCGGTGGTTCTTCAGTCTAAGTAGGTCGACTAGAGAAGGCCTACTATTGATGATTTAGTCTCTCATTGCACACACTATGGTTCCCGAATTACTATGCGCTGCGACGGATGATTTGCTGCGATGAAGCACGCAACTCAAGTGAAAATTGCGCAAAACCAGGCTCCCGTTTCAATGAGGTAGATGTTGAAGGCTATAACCCATCTCTCCGACAGGCTTCTCATAGCCTGTTGCCCATATTGATGTGCACAGCCTTGATCTGGCTATATGCTTCCAAACCTGCCTGTCCAAGTTCCCTACCAATGCCGCTTTGCTTCACACCACCGAACGGTACACGCGGGTCACAGTCTTGACTGCTATTCACCCACACCATGCCTGCCTCGATATCCTCTGCAACACGGATGCGCTCTTTCCAAGTCTTTGGTGAATACCGCTGCTCCCAAGCCATATGTCGTGTCGTTTGCCGCGTCAATGGCTTCTTGTTCGTTTTCGAAGGACGTAATCACCACGACAGGCCCGAATACCTCCTCCCGATAGATGGACATACCAGGCGTCACATCTGTGAAGACACAAGGGGTGATGAAGTATCCTTTGCTTTGCTCTGGAGGGGAGTTGCCATAGATGAGGTTCGCACCCTCGTCTCTACCCTTCTCAATGTAGCGGCGAACGTTTTGGAACTGCTCCTTCGAGACCTAAGGACCTTGGTAGGTCTTCTCATCGAACGGATCGCTAAGGATACTTGTCTTCTCCAAGTGCTCGACGAATGCCGACACAAACTTAGAGTGGATAGAAGAATGAACCATGATGCGGCTGGTCGCTATGCAGATCTGGCCTTGATTGCTCATGATGCCAAAGTGACTCCATTTAAATGCTTGCTCCATTTCGGCGTCCTCGAAAATCAAGAGTAGGATCATTCTTCCAGTCTTGAGGGTAACATTCTTCAGCGTGTTTGCTGCAGACTTCATGATCTGTCTAGCTGTCGCCGTAGAGCCTATAAATGCAATCTTGTCTACTAATGTGTGGTCATAAAGTTGACCACGCCGGCAGGGAAGCCGGCGGTCTTAATCAGGGTGCCGAAAAATGAGATTAAAAGCGGTGTCTACTCTGCGGCCTTTAAGACTACGGTGTTGCCGCAAGCAAGAGCAGGCCCAAGTTCCTAGCAAGCCGTTAATAGGGAGTAACTCTACTGCTTTCGTATTAGTAATAGTCTCTCCAAAATGTAAAACAAAGTAGACAACGACAACAATCTAGTGACTTTAATGATGTTTTGCTAGACTTCTACCTGTTTTCTCTTTCCTCTTGTCGACCGTTCTTACTACGATCATTAGTAATTATATCGCATCATTTCTTCCTGTATGTTAATGCAATTTCTTAGCAGACAGCAATAAGTACTAATTGCTCATTCTAGCATAGGCGCCGCAAGATACATTAGTAGTAAGTCATAACAATAGGAGAGTAGTCTCGGCGAGGTTATCTATAGCTACGTCTACATTAAAGCACATAGACATTAGCTTAAGTGCGCATATAGGTAACATACTCTACGAGATCGTAGTAAACTTCCCTTAGAGTTTAATCATTGCCTTAGTTAGGGACAAGGCTAAGGCCGCACTAATCGATAAGAAGTACCTATAGGTTACCTTACTCGAAGGGGACTTAGATTCTACGAGCTTAATCGAAGACTAGGCTACTTAGGTAGACGTCGTAATTAGTTAGTAAGGAACGCTATTTAATATAATCTCCTCTAACATTATATAGATGCTGCTAATGCGAAGTATCTCCCTACTATATAGAGTATCTATAAAGGAGTCTTATAATCTAGTAAGGACAAGCCGAGTAAGCTCTCTATCTAAGTGGCATATCTAGAGATCACTAATGCCTATTTACAGCGTTATAGCTTTAGATATTAGGGGTAAGTCTGCTTTCGGTCCCTAATATTAAGCATAAGTCATTTAGCGAGGCATCCGAGAAGGTCTATAATAACTTAGTTAACACTAACGAGATTAGACAACTAATTGATATAACTTCCTCTCATACTGTTAATTAAGCTATTCTTAACTTTATAAGAGCTTATACGACGAAGGTTAAAACTACGCTTATCTTTCTACTAATCATCTATAGGTTAGGGCGTAGCTAAGGGAACAAAAGAAGCATATAGATCCTAACACTTTATAATGTAGCAATTAAGCAACATAAGAGTATCTTTATTAGTAGAGGTAAAGCCTATTAGGGTAACGTACACGTAGCCGACCTTAGCGGCCTTATTAGGAAGCTTACCGAAGCTAGCTTAGATAGCGATAGCCTAGAACATCTATAGAATGAGAACGGATTTTACTTCCTAGCAATAGGCGAAATAGTAAGCACTACCTTATTATTACGATTATGTCGATATATACTAACTTAGATAGACGTAGAAGTCTATCGTAGAAAATATCGCTTAGGCTAGTAGTAAGCGTAATATTAAAGCCTAAGTAGAATCGATTATAGCCGAATAGGCTAACTAGTTCTCGCCTTACGGTAGCGTACTTTTTAGGACTAATGCCCGAAGTAAGCCCTCGCGCGGTCGCAAGTTCTTAGAATATAAGGCTATACAATATTCTCTAGAGGACGAAATACTAATTACATTCGTAAGAGAATTAGAGATTATAGATGCTTAAGCCCTACCTTCTTAACACTAGAACTAGATATACACGTATATTATTAGAGCAATTATATGCATTATATCTGAGATGGACATAATTTTAACTATTTTAATACGAAAAAGTTAAGGATCTAATGCTATAGAGATGCATAATTGTGTATGTCTTATAAGAGTTGTCTATTAAGATACCCTATATTAATCTACCTTTCGGAAGGTTACTATAACTTAAAGAGCATTATACCTGTTAACAGTTCTACGCGTGTCCTATCCTAGCACCTCTAATATAAAGTTTTATATAGGAGAGTGTCGTCGTTATAGGTTAGGAATAACTAGATCTAAGATAGCTTAATTTACTTACCTAACATATTAAGCATTAACGTAGGCTAAGGCACGCGACGATAGCGTTAGCTTAAGACGGACAAAGCGTAATGTTCCTACAAATGGGCTCTTAGATAGACTAAACCATTAACGTTATATCTTGTACCAATGTTATTAGTAAGAAGCTAGCATTCGATAGGCTAGAACGGTCTTAGGAATGCATCCGATCACGTTTCTATTAAAAAGGCAAGCTACTATAAGGATTCTCTTTATATTAGTCGATAGCGTTTATCTACTATAGCTATCCTACTTACCCTACATAATTAGAGCGCTAGGTCGTATGTCGTATGCCTTTTAGTCTAAGCGCAATGACGGTAATCGCTATATCTTAGGTAGCTATAATCGGCATTAACATTTAGGTTCCTAAGTAAGGTTTAGCCTACACGCGACTCTTTAGCCTAGCTAAGTTACGGCGTATTAAGACTAGACGTTAGAACTACTGCCGTATATCCTTAGTCGATAGTATCTAGATAAGGGCATAATCATCGAAGGAAACGTAACTTAATAGGTGTAAGGGGCATTAGAAGTGTTTATATATAGCCTCTATCTACTCTAGATATCTAGCCGACCCTATAGTTTAACCTCTTATTACTCTTTTATATTACCTCTACGTTTTACTTACTCGTTACCTCTCGTTATGTATTAAGAGTTACTATCTAAGTTTAACGAGAAAGATAGCGGTTAGCTTAACCTAACCTACTCCTAGAATGTTAGAGAAGTCGAGAATCTTAATCCTTACTATAATGCTATCTTTAGCGACATTAGTAAAGGCGGCCCTAATTACTATAATGTACGAGACTCTTTGCCCTAAAGATAATGATGCTTAGACACTAATCGATATAGGTAGGTTAGCTTAGGACTATCGCTCTTATAATAAAGACATAAATCGGGCTTAGTGTCCTTTCTATTCTAGCCGTTTTTGATACATTAGGCATAATACCTAGCATAATCTATCTTATTATCATTGCTATAATTATAACCTAGTTAAATTATATAGTTAGGGTATTTAAGATAAAGCATCCTAAGGTTTATAGTATCGATAATGTAGGAAGACTACTATTTAGCCGCGTTAGTCGTAAGTTCTTTAGTGTAGCATACGTGCTTTATAAGTCTAATACTCCGCTACTAGAACCTATAGTCTAATAATGTTCTATAGATTAGATCTTTGTTACTAGATCTAGTATACTTAGTATCTCGATCGCTTTTAACGCTCTCTCGACTTATAGTGCTTATACTACGATCTTTGTCGCTATAGCTGCTATTATCGGCTTCCTCTTTACTAGTATCTAGACACTTAGTCGCATTACTTAGCTAGTATAGGTTAGCGTTAGTAGAATCATTACATCTAGTAAGTAAGACTTACTCTTATACTATAAACACCTTTTCCTATAGTAGCCTTAACATAACCGACCGCCGACGTAGCATAATATAATAGTAGTCTTTAACAATCTCTTGCTACTACGTCCTCTATAAGTCTTAGTAATGCTATATACCTATTATAATGCATAACCTGTTCGTTTTATAGATAAGGTCCATTTAAGCCTAAGCGAATCATTCCAAATCTCTTTCCCTATAAGCTACTATCTTTATTTTATAATTTACCTTCTCGCGCTAGACTAAAGCTAACACCCTCTTAGTCCTAGTCCTTATAGTCGCTGTCGGTATCTAAGACCGCCTAGCCTTAGCCCCTTAAACTAGCCCCTAGTCCTCCGACTATAAGATTACCTCTTCTCCCTCTTTTACTAAGGCTATCTCTATCGTCTCTTCTCTTGTCTTTGCTTTCGCTAGAACCCTAGGCTTCTTCCCTATTGTATCCGAGATGCGCAATCCTCGTCGTTATACTAGAAGCCTAATCATCTATTAAGCTACTATAACGTCTATCTATATTGCTATTAGAATTGTAGTGTACTACTTTTATAGTAGTTACGTTACATCTCTAGCGTTAGGGTCTATAGGTGTAACGATAAAGAAGGTTTATTATAGGCTTACCTTGCCTAGATTATATATTAGCACTATTCTACTTTCTTATATAAGTCTCGCCTAGATCTAGTCTATAAATGATGACGTATTTAGCTAACATCGAGATAGCTTCCTACTAAATACGTATTTATCTATATTCTCCGAGGTTTGAGACATCTTACGCAAACCATAATAGTTCATTAGATTACCTAGCTCTCCTACACCGCTATAATAATTATCGTCTCCTACATTGTTACGAGCGCTATCCCTATCTTTAGTAGCTTAGTCTCGCTTATTAGAGCTCTACTTAGTACACTACTTTCTTTCTAGCCTTATAGATGCATATAGTTATATAATAACTAGAAGAATAAGCGTACTACTAGATAGATGTTAATAGTAGTATAGTGTAGATTTATCATCTTATTAGGAACCTTCTTAATGATTGCTAGTACCTATAGCTTAGTAGTTAGCATTATTAATAGTTATGCTGCTTCGGGTAGGTCGGCGGCTTAGTCTTATATAGACAACTTAGGCTTAGTGTAGAAGAATATATTATAATAGTAATAGAAGACGATTACTATAGTAAAGGATAACTATATATATATTATAAATAAAACACACGTACGAACATTTGGACTTAAAATCTCTTCATTATATCCTCCTTACTCTATGTTACCTATAGCTTATTAACTTCTATAACAAATGTACTAATCCTCTAGCAGAATAGGTTAAGGCCGAGAGAACTAGTAGGAGTGTAAGCGTAAACCGCCTTACTAAGAGTGTCGTCTAAGTTGCTCTTATCTAAAGTAGCCTTATTAGTATAGAAAGGTATAGAATCGATGATGCTAAAAGCAAGAGTCTATAGAGGTAGAAGTTAGTCCTAAGTCGTAGTAGTACAGTCATTTATAAAGGAACTTACGTTAATAACGCCCTTAAGAGAATAAAGGATAGTAGCTATAGGGCTAAGGAAGATACCTTCTAAAAGGCTAGACTTACTAATAACGATCTTTAGTAGATTTTAGTAGATAACGACAAACTACAACTATGTTAGAGACTAGGTATTCATTAATAGACGGGTTAGACTTACGTTAGAGAAAGTATCGTAAACCTTCTACTCGGCAGCGGTATTAGTATAGGGCTAAGTACTATCTATACTAGTAATAGCTATAGTTCTAGTAGTAATGATACCCTTAAAGCCATCAATAAGTTACTATAAAGTAATTAGCAAACTCGTAAGTTAGTTAATAGCTAGGTCAAATCCTTACCTAGTAGTTAGTAGTACCGCTACTAGCTCTAGGACTAAGAAGAGGGACACCTAATATAGGGTTAAGGTTTTAAGCAATTATAGCTAAGCTCTTAGATTGCTAGGTAATCTTATTAATAGTAGTAACTATTTAGTTAGTAGTAACTATACGCTTTTCGATAGGGCTAGTAGAGGTAGAGGTAGTAAGGAGGGCTACGATAGGTGCGACGATCTTAGAGAAGTTCATCTTAGAGGAGGGCAGGAAGTCTAAAGTAGCTTATTATTTGACGAGAAGACTAGATAATAAAGCTAATTTAAAGTTAATAGTTAGAGAAGAGACGGCCTCCTTGCCTATTTATATATCCTTAGTCCTAAGTACTACCCTCTAATGATGTCGCTTAGATAGACTATAGTAGTAAGAAGATGTTTATAGTAGATGCTCTTAGTAGTTACATTAGGATTTTTAGTCGTTATTGCCTTTATTTAGCTAGTAATGCACATGTTCGTTAATACGGAGAGGGGGCATAATAGTATTATATAGACATAATCTTAGGCTTCTCGATCGTATTAGTCCTATTCCTAGAGATCTAAATGGTTAACGATAAGAGCTTTAACCATCTTAAGTTAGAGCACGAAGTCTCTAAGCCTTTAGATCTATAAGGGAAGGAGAATTAATTAATTAAGATCGACGCCCTAAATCTTAGAAGGTCCCTAAAAGAGGGGCTTAAAGTTAGAATAAACGTCTTCGCGTAGGCCTAGTACGAAGCTACGCTAAAGCTTATATTAATCACCTACTTAAACGCCTATAGCGCACTATAACAAACTATACAAACGTTAATCTACGCATATAGTTAAAGACTTATTAGATAGGTATAAGATAGTCTTATACTTAAGCTTAAAAGTTAAAATAAAGATTAGCGTTATTTTTCTACTATTAAGTACCCTATACGTAAGAAACGTAGTTATATAATCTTAATAAGGTAAGCTTAGGATTTAGTCGATTACTAGAATAGTGTCTTAGACTAGAGACATTCTTATTATAGGTAAACATTAGTAATTAGCACCTCTTACGATCCCTTAAGTATTTCTATATAATGCTATACGGCTATAATAGAGGTCTAATTAATAATAATACTTCCCTTTTGACGACGTTAATAAGACCTCCTCTACTATCTCTAGTATAATAGTTACGTATCGTCTACTTTAATTATAAAGTCTTATTATAATAGTGTCTTAGTAAAGACGTACATCTTACGATTAAGCATCTTAAAATTTAACTATGCTTCTCGTTCGCTAGTTTATTAGGTAACATCTAAGAGCTTCTAATAGATAACGTTCGTAGAGACGGACTTGTCGTATGCTATATCGCTTAATATAATACTATACGACTCTATATATTTTAGTTATCTAAGCTTCCTACTTAAAGACTAAGAAACTTAACTCGTTAAGAGTTACTAATAATGCGGCTCTAACTATTAGTTGTGGTCTAAGGTATAATTTATTTAGTAGATGTAGGTAGAATTGTCTAAAGAGATTATAATTAGTTATAAATCGTATAAGATTAGATATAGACAAGTTACTAAGGTTTAGATGATCCTAGGCATTAGCTTTAACTAATATAGCTATCTTAACTATTTAGAGGGTATAGAGTTATAGAACTAAGTATTCCTTATCGAGCAAGTAACTCTTAGTAAATAGCGGCCGTTTATATCTAATCTAAGTCTTATAAACCTAGGTACTATATATAAACGCTAGACTATATACGAGAAGAATAGGGTAAGGCTACTATTATGTTAGTGCTACTATTAATAGAGCCTTAGATATAAGACACACTATAGCCGTTAGTGTAGCTAGTATAGTTAGCGAGCGATCGTTAATAATAATTATTATAATAATTATTAGATGAGCTAATTAATATAAGGCCTTAATTTCTATCGAGTGATCGCTACAACACCTTATAATTATCATAAGTGTATTATGATAATCTGAGGGCAGGGTTACACCCTCAGCGAACCTTAAGATGTTCAGGGTTGGCAGGGTCGCACCTACAGAATCAGATAAGATGCGCAGATCTTCTATATACGGTTAGTCTAGCGGGCTCTTAGCAGTAAATGAGCGATCATAATTGATCACGATTATCACGAGCGTGAGCGAGCGAGAGGGTAATTTCTGCCGAGCGATCGAGACGAGACCAATTATTAGCTCATTATCACTCGCTGACCACACTGAGTATAGCATGCTCCTGTACTGTCTTGACTCTGCGCAGAAATACTGTCTTTACAACACCGTCATCAAGGTGACTTCGTGCAGCTTTAGCTTGTGTTTGGGCACGAGTCCAGACATAGACAGACCATCCAGCGTTTAAAACACCATACAACGCAGGCAGAGCATTGCCAACGTAGCCAGACAGCAGATTACTGGCGAACCAGACGGCTCGATTGGCACCTCCAATAGCCATGTATGTTCCAATGGAGATGAGGAATGCTCCAGCGCCCATTGCGATTTCAACTCCCGCACGGTCAAAGATCTCGGTACCCAAGTCGCGATGGTTGATGTCTAGTTTCACCCTATGGTCACCGGACGATTTTTCCAGCATTTTTCTCTCTTTCCGGAGCAGTTTGATGTTACTGCAGCTGCGCTTAGCATCCCAGAAGGCGACAAAGGACATGACGAGTGCGACCGTGGCTCCAATAGCCATGAGAGCAACGGCGTATGCGGGAACCGGCACTTGATTGAAGACATTGGCGGCAAAGTCGCCTGAGTTGGCCAGATCCAGAAAGCCGATAGCAAGTGGAGGGATATTTCGAATGCGCGATTGAGCACAAGGGTGAAAAACGCCAGTCTTGTCGCGGATGAAAGTCGTGCAGGTGGCGGGACGATTATGTCGCCGCGAGAGACGGTCGACTGAAATAGACTCTTTCCCCGTTTCGAGGTCAATTCTAGTATCACCGGAACAAGGCATGCCAGTATCTTGCTCAATTCTGCATTGTATCATTGCAGAATCGCTTGGAAACCATATTGCAGGACAAACTGCTGTGTCGATACGATATGAATAGATGAAGAAACAAGCGATGCTTCGTCAGCTACCTTGGCTTTCATCCCTTTGCTTCGTCCTCGGCAGGTCGGCATCGTATTATAAGGCAAGTTTGCAACTTCCTGAGTGACTTCCAAGATCTGATTCCGGCATTCCGGAACAACCAAGATAATGACATCCAACAACGGCCCACAAATCTGGTGGGGGATTGCGCGTCCGAGGATCAATCAAGATAAGGACATCCGCGTTTTGGCACATCGACACTGTGTCTTGCATCTCCACCTTAAATACAAAGGGTCTCCAGGTTGCTTGTCATCAATAGAGGATAGACAAACAAGCGATGGGGAAGTTGCTGCAGCTGAGCTTTTCATGTTGTGGCTTCTTGGTTGGACTGTGCTTTCTGCCAAGACCGTGTGGCCGAGGATACCACCCTGCTCGTATTATCGTTCGAAGGATATATCTGTCAGAGAAGTGACTCGAAAGACACAAGACTGTCTGTGTCCATGGAGGCTGATATCATCATATGCACCGTACTTTGGCAAGTCGACATTGAGCAGAGCTGTTATTGATAAGGATCTTAGTGAATTCGCCGATCACACGAGCCGAGTCTCCACTGCTGCCATGAACCTCGAAAAGTGTAGAATCGTCAATGTTTAGTGTACGAACGGGAACATCGTGGTGCTCGTATCGGCATTCTTTGTCCTCTGCGTGCCACACGGATACCTCAAAGTCAAGAAGGTCAAGAAAGTTTGAAGTAGTTTGTGCATCATATTTCATTTCGTCTATGAGGTGTATCATAGTGCCGGGATATCTATCATATTTTTTTCGCTTCCAAAATGTTCCAATTCATATATACAGACCCTTACGACTTGATCAACAAGCTGGAGCCGGTCATCTCCTCGGGCTGGGGCAGACCCATGACAGCGAGGACGGTGGGAGCGACGTCACCAAGGACACCGTCGGTCTTCTTCAAGCTGTAGCCCTCGGGAGCGTTTGCCATGACAAAGGGAACCTTGTTCAGGGTGTGCGATGTCTTGGGGGTGTTTTTCTCGTTCAACATCTCCTCGGCGTTGCCGTGGTCGGCGGTGATGAAGAGGGTGTAGCCGCTCTCCTTGCACTGCTCGTAAACCTTGCCAATAGCCTTGTCGGTCTCGGTGCAGGCAATGACGGCAGCGTCGTAGACACCGGTGTGGCCGACCATGTCCGGGGGAGCGAAGTTGTTCATGAGGAACTCAAACTTGCCCTCCTTGATGCGCTCACAGAGCTTGTCGGCAACAGCCATGGCACTCATCTTGGGTTCCTTGTCGTAGGTAGGGACGCGAGGGGAAGGGACCATGTCTCTATGCTCGTTGTCGAACTGGACCTCGACACCTCCGTTGAAGAAGAAGGTAACGTGGGCGTACTTCTCGGTCTCGGCGACGTGGCACTGGTGGACCTTCTGCTTGGCAAGCCACTCGGCGAGGACGTTGTCCATGGTCTGGGGAGCAAAGGCGAGAGGGAAGGTGTAGTCGGTCTTGTAGCGGGTCATGGTGGTGACGTGCATGTTGGAGGGGTAGGGGAAGTCGGGTCTGGGGCTGCGGTCCTGGTCGCCGATGAGCTGGGTGATCTCGCGGACACGGTCGCTGCGGTAGTTGAAGAAGAAGAGGGTGTCGTCGTCTGTTGCATTGAGTCAGTCATGGCGGGAAGGGGGAGGATAAACGGAAAACATACCCTGGACTCTGCCGTCCTTGCCATTGACGATAATGGGCTTCAAGAACTCGTCAGTCTCACCAGCCTCGTAGCGCTCTTTGATGGTCTTGACGGGGTCGGAAGACTCCTCGCCCTCGCCCTTGAAGATGCCGACCATGGCCTGCTCAACACGCTCCCAGCGCTTGTCGCGGTCCATGGCGAAGTAACGTCCAACAACGGTGGCGATCTTGCCGAGACCGATCTTCTGAGTGTAGTCGATGACAGTCTGCATGTGACCGGCACCGGACTTGGGGTCGGTATCACGACCGTCACCGAAGAAGTGGATGTAGACCTCGGGAACGCCGACCTCCTTGGCGACGTCGAGGAGTCTGAGAAGGTGGTTGATGTGAGAGTGGACACCGCCGTCCGAGACCAGACCGAGCAGGTGCAGACGGCCGTTGCCCTCCTTTGCGCGGGTGAAGCTCTTGACGATGTTGTCGACCTTGTTGAGCTCGCCCTTCTTGATGGTCTGGTCGATGCGGACAACGTCCTGCCAGACGACTCTGCCGGCGCCAATGTTCAAGTGACCGACCTCACTGTTTCCCATGAGGCCCTCGGGAAGACCGACAGCGAGCGACGAGGCCTCGAGCTCCGTGTAGCCTTGGGTAATCTTGCTGCCCTGCTTGGCGAACTCGTCCATCCAGGGAGTGTCGGCGTTCAGGATGGCGTTACCCTTGTCGGGCGACTTCTCGCCAGCGACACCCCATCCGTCAATGCAGATGAGGACTGCCTTTTGTGCGACCTGTGCCATGTTGTATGTCTGTGGGTGTGATGTCAGAGAGGATTGAGCAGTACTGAATGGGCGGTACAGAGGAGGAGGAGCCGAGTTTGAGAGTAAAAAGAAGAGGAGTCGCGCTTACTGGAGAGGCTTATGAATTATGAAGAGTATACAGGTGGAGTGATGGTCAACAAGCAAAGGTGATGTCTCGTGGAGGGGTGAAGCCGGTGAGCGACGACGGCGCTCTTTTCCGGCGTTCAACCATCGGACAAGCTTGGACCTTTCTGAACTCACCGACGCGACTTTTCGGCCCGCTCTGCCTTTTTTGTTGATCACGCCGATAAGCTGATAAGAATCTGCCCACCAACACATGAATGCCAAGGGTGCCATCATCGCCATCAACACCATTCTCAATGCCATCGTGCATCTTGATGAGTGCATTTGTACGTCGTCGCTGCGACGTGACAAGAGGCCGGAGACAAAACTCCGAAATAAGAATTTCATGAGGAAGATCTGATTCTGATTTCCATACACGACATACGCCAGCGTACATCAACATCTTGCCGCCATGGTAAACCTCCAAGTTGTCATCAGCGCGCAATAGGCAATGCGCCCATCTCCGCCGGCGGCGTCGGCCAAACACGAGTGTCGCAATATCCAAAGTACTCACAAGCAGCAGTCTGCGGAGCCGGACAACTATCTTCATCAGCTTTTGCACTTTGTGTCGAAAACGGGGAACTTACTGCACAGCTTCTCCCGTCATGATATATGCCCAAAGCTTCTCGAACACTCGGCCACTGACCGAATCATCCAACCGTGTATCCAGCAGCCATTGTCGCATACGGACATAATCCTCCTTGGTCCTCCCCCTGATCGCTTCCTTCGTAGCAGCGAATTGCGCACAACATTGCGAAGCAATTGTATCCGGCAACTTCTCATCTGGAAACAACGCTCCCCAAGCATCACCAATTGCGTCCTCGGTCTCTCGCAGATGATCGCCATCACCCCAGACCACCGCATCATGATGTTTCGGCCGGAGTTCAGCAGGGCATGAAGGCGACCAACTGAATCTCAGTGAGACGTATTGCGCTTTTTCCAACGCCGATACTCGAAGATCTTGGATCATGTCGACGATGTCACGTTCTTGGTGCCAGGCTGTTCGGTGGCCGTGTGTGAAGATTGCGTAGGGAGGTAGGTTATCGTAGTTGTGAATGATATAACTGAGGTACACCATTGCTTCTCTGCCTTTATTTGCTGGGATGGCAAGATGGAGTGGTGAACTAGCGTCTGTGACTATGAAAGGAAAGACATCATATCTGCGGTGGGAGTCAGCTTGTCGTCTCGGAGGTATGAGCAGCTTGAAGCCCTACTCATCGGTCATGTTTTGCATCCATTCCAGACTGTCTGCCAGCACAGCTCCTGCAATGATGGCCGGACGTAATAGAGCCGGTGCTTGCGACTCTTCACCCATGTTCACGTTTACATCGATATTGATGTTGATCTCCGTTTGCTCGAGGGAGATGGCTCCATAATCCGTATCTGTCTGGCCAATAGACAAAGAGCCCTGTTGAATACCACCAGCAAAGGTGTCTTCCCTCCAAGCCTCAATAAGCGCCCCCAGGAAAAGCAGACACAGTAACGTCGCAGCACATAGTCTGACTTTTGGGTTCGAGGAGGCGAATTCTTGGACTGATCTCATATCGACTGGTCAAATGAGCAAAGACAAAGACAATGATGGAATAAAAGATGATTATTGCGACATATCGAGGGTAGAATACAAAAGGGCAGGTGTATCTCATCAACTCAACAACCAGCTTGCGAAACACAACCACGCAAGCAACTCCAAGCCTCAACTGCCCAGAAATATCAGGAGCTTGAATTCTCATCCGTGCTAAGCTCCATCACTGTTCACTCGCGGCACGACTGTATCAGAGTCTCCCAGAGGCGCTGAGCTTACGTTGACATTATAGAACTAGAGTACACGCATACCAGGTTTACTGTAGCCAAGACATCTGCCGCGTGGTGTCGTTTGATAAACGTATAACGGCGTAACTGCCGAAGGGAAAGTCGTCGAGGACATGGAAGAATCGATTCCCAGTATGTGGGGAAGGGCACGAACTATCAGAGTAGTGCTATCAGATGATACTTGGAAGTTGGAACCAGACGACGCGACACTGTAGCCGAACAAGTCCACGAGAACCATTGGTTGAAATAGCAACAGTTGGAAGTGCAAAGCGCTCGCTAAGAGAGTAACAAGAGGCGAAGAACGTGAACATGGAAAAAGATTGCTAGAAAGGAACACAGATTATGCCAAAGAGGAAGCATCACTATGCAACCTCACCTTCTCATACCCCAACCACCTCGTCTCCCTCCAATTCTTGAATTGCCTGAACCCTTCGTATCCAATAACAAACAGCATGAGTCCACAGATAGCAAACATGGCCAACTGCACAGCACTATACTCACTAACCTTATACCCGTTCAAGATCCCATTGGCGCCAATCTCCCATCCTAGATCCAGGTAATCGCTAACGCTCAAAACATTGCCATCTGCATCAAGAGCAACAACTCTTAGAAACCTCTCTTCTGCATCTTTCAGTTCAATCTCGGTTTCGAAGCCTTGTTTTGAAGTGGTGGTGACGTCTTCCCATGCGTCGTCGGGACATGCTGATTCCTCCGCTTGTTGCAGCTTCCAATCCTTGACTTCTGTGGCTCCGTTCCAACTGACATAGATTTCTTTTCCTCCCTCGCCGAATGCGACGGAAGGTGGCCAGGTGGGTTCGCCTTTCCAAGGTGCTTTGAGCGCGCGATAGGATTGTACATCTCCTTTGCCCCAGCTACTCATTGTAGAAAAGCGGTTATCGCAGAGAACCTGTCCGTCGGCGGTAAACTCGGTCCAGACACCGACGTAGCCGAAGCCTAGTAGAACTCTCGGGTCCGCGCCGTCCTCTGAAGGAATTATTTGCATGCTTCCTTGACTCGAAGCGACGAATTGGGCTGGGTGGAAGTATTCTTGAACAAGGTTTGCTGTGTATGCGTTTGGATCGTGTGATTCCAGGTCGGCATAGGTTGGGTATGTGATTTCGATGAGTACGCCCCTGGAAGGCCTGTTGCCAGTCCACTCGTGATCTGCTCCATTGTCGAAAGCCGAGACCAGCATCTTAGTAACTCCGTCGACATCTTTCGTCGGATGGATGGCAATTTCATGGGCGAGGAGTACAGGAAATTCCGTCAGATTGTGGAAGCGGGCAAAGTGTTGATAAGCGATATCAGTAGCCTTGCTCTTGCCATCCGAGATGTCTTCGAAAGCGTTGCGCTTGCCTCCAAGTATCCAGATAATTTCTCCCGATCGTCCGTCGATGTAAGTGATGGTGTGAGTGTAGCGTGCCGAAACCAAATAATTGCCCAACTCGTCCTTTTGTATGCTGTTCATATGATACCAATCCCAAGGCCGATTCGATGCTCTTCCCTCATCGTTGATGTCGCGGAATGTCTCGTCCAGACTGTGATGTTCAGAGGCGCGCCATTGGAAGATCAATTCGTTGGTCTCGAGGTCGATTTCCTGAAACAGGCAGTCCCAGACCCAGATCACGTCTGCGTCGTCGACGAAACCGGGGAAAGTGACGGGATGGATCTCGTAGATTGTCATCATGCCGGTGCCCTCGGGGGTGATGGTCAACTCATGCAAATCTGCATGCAATCCGTTCAGAGCGGATATCTTTGCCACCTCCTCGTATCTTGAGTTATACTGTGCCCTGCGTCAGCTGATTGAGCCTGTTATACCGGTTGCCTGAAACTGACCATGTAGTAGTCGCCCTCTCCATGGCCACCAACACCATCATTACCAACCCAAAAAGTAAGCACTTGCTCCCCCTGATATTCTTGCACCTTCAAATTATATCCCTGCCCCTCCACATAATGCTCCCAAACCATGTCGCCTGCATTATCCATTATAGTGACGGCCGGATGCGGTACTTGATATCCTCGTGGCGAAAGAAAGATGTAATTGCCGTCATGACATTGTGGCGAGTCGTTGGGCCGCCGTAATATTGGTGACATCAAGTCGGAGGATTTGAAGGTTTTGTATGGGTACGAGCCGAAGTTGTGTTCAAAGGCTTTGATGTCTGATCTGTCGAAGTCGGGGCCGACATCTTCTGCTTTTGTGGTTGTCGGATGCAGTAATCCGAGGAGTGGTAGTAATAACAAGGAGCCAAGCATGGTTGTTGAGAAGGTAGATACAGGTCCTTGGCGTATGATTGACTGACACCTTACAACTTTACAAGGCTCAAATCCGTGAGAGTATTAGACGAGAAGATAGATGTAAAAAAGCCAGATAAAGCAGGGATCGAACGACAAACGGAAGTGTAGAGAATTGAGTAAGAAAGAAGCTGCACCAGTCACCGAGCATGAATAAGAAATCGCAATGTCCAACAGTACGTGTCCGGTTGGGATGATTGCGTGTCAAGAAATCAAAGCCTCACCTATAAGGGAACCTAAGTTCACCTACCTGTCATCCGCAGTCGGCCGACAAAACATCTGAGACGTGCAAGGATATCGTGGAGCCCTGACAGAGAATCATCTTCATCATTGCTCTGCGGACACCTACCGGAGTGATCGATCCGGATCGTCGCGGACATGGAAACCCACAACCAAGCTTCTTCTCTTCTCTGGGCGGTCATGGCAAAGTCGCCAAAAGTGAAGCGTGTAAGGCGTACAGAAGCATCGTCGAAAGTCCACGAAAGCAACGCAACAGGGCATGACGAAACCGACTCAGCCATCCCATCAAATCTCTTCATCGTTTGTCGCAGAAATGTAAACAACACAACAACGTCTACGACATGTCGCCGCGAAGACTTGCCAAGGGGGAGAGTCGGCACATTTTAGAGTCGTCATCCTTGTGGTGCATCTTCCGGTTGACATGAGCCGGGAAAGGAGGATTTTCATCGCGCCAAGGCCAAAGTTACGCGTACATCTTCGTCGTTCTTTGAGGATTGTGGGGAAGCTGTATAGGGCTTGTTGAGCATCGTGAGATAAGGCCATGCGTCACTTGAATTATGTTTCGGTTCTTCTTGCTTCTGTGTTTGAAGCAGTTGAGATGTGTTTCGAAGCCTCGGTCTTCTTGGATCGCCACGACTCATGAGGGAATGACAGATCATGGAAGCCGTGTCATGTTTTTGTCACAATAGCGACCGAATGCATAAGCTCCTTATAGATTTCTATCACTAGGACATATTCTACAATATACTGGCTCCTTATCGCACTAAGATAATTGACGCGAACCTGTAGCGCTACACAATCACGATCCATAGCAGTAAGGACTTTGTGTTCATCATGATACTGGGTTTGAAGTTTAAGCCCGGGTGATCCAGACAACAACAATTTCGAGCTCGATCTTGACAGAGCCTTAGGATATAGCATGATGTCAGGAACATGGAACACTCGTCACACATCTTTCAAAAATCCCCAGGCGAACGATGCAAATAAAGCTCACCGCTGCATCTGCGCGGTGCACCACAAAGGTTGGAAGAAGTCCCTTCAAACCTCTTCTTATTGGCCAGTTCGTTTACACGGGCTCTGACGGCTTTCCACAACTCAACACTTAGGGCAAGCATTCTTAGTCCACGCGTAGTCCTGACTCAAGTGAAACATAAAGCGGTATCGGTAATGATCTCTGCACCGGAAGAGTGAACCGACAGGCCCTATATTCATGCAGCACGATGATTCCAGTTGAGCGATTGGCCGGTTCGTTTGGAAAGTTTTTCGATAGGTCCGCCTTTTTGTTTGATGAAATGCTGCGGAATTGGCCGCGACAGCAGTAAATGACGAGGACTCTGGCTTGGCATGGATGCTATCGGTATAGCACAGCGGTTGATGAATGAGGGATTGACAGATGCCATGAACTCCATGCAGGATGCCAAGGTGAAGGATGTGTGAAAGAAAGTCTTGTTCGCATGTCAAGCTCGGCGAGAAGCAAGTCGTGGCGAAGATGTGGTGTTAGTAAGACCTGAATACGATATAGATCCATGAGATCCGAGGGTTTGAGGGTAAGCGATAAGATACCACCGAGTCGTTCGACAACTGATGGTATCGCGTGGTCGAGAATCGATTCTTGTGCTTGTTCTTTCCCCACGCTTGGCCTTCTTGATCACTCTCCACCTTGCAAATCACACCTCTCCACCACCGAAGCACTCCCATTTGCATGAACGAACGCGAGTCGAGAGACACGAGGCGATTTCCTATCTCAGCGCATGGCTGATGCGCCAACCGACGGGCTTCGGTATCAAAGGTTAAATCACCTATACTATGACTTTGTTCCGAAGAGAAACGGGCCGGCGCCGGCGCATACGTATGCTTTGCTGCGCGAAACAGTGCACACAGCAATGATCGCAGGTTTCTAGTTGTAGCGAGTAGTAACAGTAGGCGAAAAACATGATGGCTGGTTAGTCGGCCGATCACCTCGGCCGCTCTTGCAGGAAATCGATTTCCCGACACTGGAAGCCGTGTCAAAGTGACAAACCATAATCGCAGGGAGCTTTCTCTTTTCGATCCTGCAGCCCCCAAATATACAAAACGCCTTTTCCTTCCCTCTTTGACCCCCCCCCCCCCCCGAACACGATGTCCCGTAATCGGTTCTGGAGAAGTCTACTGATGCATGATAAGAAGGAAGCTCCCAGATTATGACAGAGCCCAAACGCGATGATAGACATAATGTCGATGCCAACAGCAACAATAATACCAACAACACCTCCCCAAGCGACAGATCTGGACGTGTGACAGCAGCTCGTCGACATGGAAACCTCGAGACCATTCGCAAACAACCAGGATGGAAGGAGTTTCCAGAGTGCATACCGCTGGCGATGCGGACGACCAAGAGCGGCAAGGTGACTGAGTTTGGCAACACCAAGCTACGCATCATCGAGCGCGTCGCCGTGCATACCAACTTTGTCTCTGCTCTCACCTATCTCAAGAGCTTGACAGAAGATGGAACCAGGCTGCTGAGTCTCAAAGACTTGGAGCAATGTGCAGCGCACTTCGACAGGTCCAAGAAGGTGGCTTCTAGCCAGCGAGGCTCAAGCTCAGCACCGGCGAGCACATCAGTCAGTCATGCAGACGACGAAGAGCCCAGCTACCACTCGTTGGCTCAACCTCTGGATACCTGGAACCATTTCACGCTCGATCAGTCACCGATGCCCTCCAATGCTGGTCCATCATTGCAACCACTCAAGCGACCAAGCCCAGAGTCCTTCCAAAGCATGTCAGTGTCGCCGGTGGACTGTCATCCAAAGCGACCACGCATGGACACTTTCTTCGACGGCCATAGCGCCGACTTCCTTTTCGACATCAATAGCCAGAACTTGAGCCACACAAACAGTCTCAGTGTTCCAGGATACCAACACCAGGACGACCGCTCGATGCGCGTCCCAACACCAAACCTGCTTTCGCAGTCGCCGTCGCAGAACCCAGCTCGCGCCCTACTGAGCATCCATCCTCACGCAGGAAGCATCTTCTCAAACCTCAACTCCGCCTTTGACGATCTGCTTGCTCGAGTAGAAGACCAGCAACAACTCGTCAAGTCCGCGCTTGATCAACTACGCATGGCCACCAATGGCCTTGAGGTCGCTGCAACAACAAGTACACCAAACAATACCAGCGATCGTGATCTGGAGACGGCTCAGAGAAAAGAAGCACGTGCTCGTCAAGACTTGCAGCAGGCAAGATCAGCAAGAGATGTTATCGATATCCAGTATGGCCACATTGGTACCTCCCTGTCGCGTGCTCTGGTGGGCACTGTGCGAGCCGAGTACACACGGGCTGAAGCAGCGATGAACCGTGCTCAAGCAGATGTCGAGGCTGTGCGGCAGAGGCTTCAAAATGCGAACAACCGAGAGCAGGGGTTGAGGCGAGCGAAAGAGGTTGCAGAGGTTGGAATTGACCAGCTGCAGCGGCAGACGCGCTTTTGGTTGAAGAGACTGGCAGAGGCAGGGGTGAAGCTGACAGATCAGTTGGGCACTTTGCAAGGAAGCGAGGCCGGTCAGGCGACGTCGCAGATGTGAGGGTTGAATACTCTAATAAATGAGAAATGAAGACGACACTGGGACTTGGTGGTAAGAAGGACCTGTAAGAATTGTTTGGAAGTTGTAATCATATTCGATAATGATTCAGACGCATCAAGAAAAGCCCTCACCAAACAGCACGCCCACAAATCGATCACCTTGTCAACAACTGAACATCCCTCCTCACCTCATCAGCGTCGTCAAAGACAAGCCACATCTTCTCATCTAATCCTTTGAAAGCTGTCTCGAAACGCTTGTTCGAATTTCTGTCAGGGTCCAGCGCTCCTTGGATGTCATTCTCATCTGCCACGCGTCGGATATAGATGGCCTTGATCCAGCCAGCATGACGTCTTGCAATCTCGCCGTAGGACTCTGGATCTTTCTGAGTGCTATCTCCGATGCAGAAGAACTGGCGATCAGGGAACCATGTGTGCATCTTCTCAAGCCTGTCCACCTTGTATGTCTTGACGTCGACTGACAGACTGCTGATGAGACCACCCAGATTTTGCCAGGAAGCATCGCGCAGGATCATGGTTCCATCCGGGAAGTGCTCCTTGCGGAAGCTGCGCAAAAATGGATACAGGTTGTAGGGAGAGCCAGAAAGGTAGAAGAAGATGGGATCAGCTAGGAGCTTGACCAAGTCGGTGTAAAGTTCGGGCATTCCTGCAACAGGTGTCGGCGTATCGATGAATGTGGACTTGAGTACAGCGACGGGCGAAAGTGTTCCAGTGATCTTGATCGTGTCGTCAATGTCCGAGATGACTCCCCAACCAGTAGGCTCAGCCAGAACAGTGCGACCAGGAACAGCCCAACAAGGCGGCGAGTCTATGTCAGCCGTGGTGGTGAGCTGTGTACCAGCTGGCGCATCGAAATGCAAGCGGAGCAGATCAGACGAAATGCCTGATGAAGTCGAGGGTCCCAGTGTCTGTGTTTCGACGTCGCCGATGTTGACGCGGATGGTGTGACGAGGAAGGATCGGATTGAGAAAAGGCTCCAACCGCTTCTTGATGGGCGTAATGTCGAGCTTGTCCTTGAGTTCGCCCAAACCCTCTTCTTCACTCGCTGACCCTCTGGCGAGACCAACCAGGCGAGCAATGTCGGCAATAACGTGCGATGCATCGCGGCAGGTCTCGCGCGAGAAGTAGGCGGCGACGTACTCTACTTCCCATCGTGGTGGAGGGAACGGCTCATCGGGAGAGGCTTCGAGGACAGGGTCGGCCTTGTGCTTGTTGACCTTCTTGTCTTGCCCACTGCAGGTAGTCAGTGAGTGTCACAACTTGGCCGAGACAGATCACATACGGTTGAACGCGGTAAGCAGTATTGTCCAGAATCCAGACACTGTGCTGTGTGGGATCTACAGGTCTGGGCTTGGTCCATGGAAAAGTCAGGAGAAGACGGCCGGACAGATCAGGCATAGATTCGAGAAGCTCCTTGGGGATGTCGGGTGAGAAGGGCGCGTCTTTGCGAAGCTGGAAGCTATCGACGACGGTGACGAGAGCGTCCTGAGCAGTTTGCAGCGCAGGGCGCAGGTATGTTTCCAGAGAGCTCATGATGGGGTTATGTAACAAGCTGTTGTTAGGAGTCATAGGAGGGGAAGGGAATCAGAAGACGGGCAGATGAGGAACATGCAGTCGCATGTCGCAGTGTTTGAAGAAAAGGGAAAGAGCAGGCAGCGACAAGCCAAGATTATGAGCATCGCTCATGAGGCAGGAGAGGCATGATGCGGCAACATGTGGCCTCGGCGACCTACATTGAGTGGATCATGTCAATACTGTACGTGGAATAGCTTCAGCTCTGATGCTAAAGCTAGACCGGCTGCAGGCTACATTTTGACACTCGGGATGCAGCGAATGTCGCTCCGTAACAGTTGTGCAGGAGCGGCCAAGAGCTTGGCTTTATGCATTCTGCAGCAGCCCGTGACAGACATGGTCAGAGGTGCCTTCCAGGGCGCATGACAAAGAATCAGCTAAATTCGCAGGCGTCAACGATCAGAGGAGCATCGAAGCAGCGAGTGACAAGGCAGAAGTCAGCGTCGTGGAGAGAACTTGGAAAGGGCGGCAAAAGACCCCGCACGCTCGGCCGAGCCAAGCAAAGCGGGATGCGCCAGTGCGCATCGAGGAATAAGCGTTTCCACCCTTCCGTGTCAATCTTCTTAGAATCTGTCCAACTTTCGAACAACACTTGTCCAGCTTATCGCATCTCGCCCTTCTCTATAATTTTAGTCTTGATCAAATTATCCAGAGAGATCGCGAATTGAGCACCGCTTTCTGTGGCAAGGAGCTCATTATCAAAAGCATTCTGCCTTTTGATAGCTAGTATGCGATCGAAATGGAAGGAAAATGCTAGGTTTAGATCGGAGGACTGCTGAACTGCTTGAACTTCCTTACGCAGGTCCCCACAGTGTGATGCTCTCAATATTGCAAGTGACCGTATCAACACCGACCGTCGATATGACACCAGTAATACTGACGTTAGTCGCACCATTGTAGTTCCAGGGGTTGTCGGTACAGAACCTTGTGTCGTCACCAGTCGCGATCTATCAACATCTGTCAATCGTCTGATTTTCTGCGACAACGGGAACCAGACTTACCAATATCACATCTTCGAAGATGACCGGGCCAAAGTCCCAAGCCCCATACAACTCTGCTGCGAATGGTGCGTCGTTCATCACCTTATCAGCGATAGGGAATGAATTTGTCGCGCTCGCTTCACCGCAATTCTTTTCAATCACGCTGACCCATTCACTACTATCCGTGTTGCGCGTATTGTTGAAGAACAAAACATCACCCTCCGCAGCGCCAAAACCTCCACCCCAAGGTAAACCTAAATCCCCCGATCAGCCCCTTCCTCACCTCTTTTGCTTTAACGCAGTAACACTTACTGGGGTTTGAACAACACCAACCACTACCAAACCACCAACCTCCAGACCTGCCATCAAGAACATTTTGGTATACCCCTGAGTTATCGGTGCTTTGAAGACCGGGCCAGAGATAATTTGTCGCTGCTTCGTGGATTGCAGGGACGATCATGTTGCCTGATTGAGAAATGAATTCTTGTCCATCTGGAGTTGTGAAAGCGACGAAATGCCAATCTTGAGCAAGGGTGGTTGTAGCTGCAGCGAGTAGCAGGAGAGGTAGTTGTGAAAGCTTCATGGTGTATTTAATCGGTCAATGTGTAGCGATGATAATGATCAAAACAGACGGCGGCAACTTCAAAAGAGCAGAGAAGAAAAGACAGAGAAGAGAAGTTACCGGCTTGTATATACTTGCGGGTTTGGCCAGACCCGTCGTGCCCTATAGACAAAGTTCTCGTGTATAACGTCGTGTATAACGATGTTTCTCCTGTACGAACATATATAGCCGTTTGTTCTGCCGCATTACTGCAAACAAAACTTACAAAATTCAGCGGTGCATTTGATCATAGTCACTGGACATTTGATCTGTATCAGGAATGATTGAGATCAGCAGCAGTTGCGGCGACGTCAATTATGGCCAGCTAGGCGTGCTGATCCATCAAGTCATTGGAGTCGTGAGGTACACTCCGTCCAGAGGGCACCTGCGATCACCACTCGAGCAAAACAATTGATCTTGTGCGACCAGTCAAGATTGATGTCGAAATAAGGTAGAGGATAAGGTATAGACGGCGATGAGATTGCCGCAAGTGGGAGTAAGCGAGGACCACGACTTTTGGCAACCGGGAAGAAAAAACTACAACTTTACCACATCTCTCCTTTCTCATACGACGATTCAGACATAATCATCAGATTGCAAGATGCTTTGACATAATCATCAGATTGCAAGATGCTTTTTGCTCAGATCTGTCGCTGGTCTCTGAGAGCACTCAATCTTCCGGGCTCTCTCCTGATCAACCCAACAATTATGGAAGCATCACGACTTTTGATAGATATTGCGGTGCCCTTCTCGGTGCGTGAGAACCAGGTTTGAGTCCAATATTCTAGTGAGCTGGTACAATGGTCAGGGTGGTTGATCGAAATGCAAGTTGCAAGATGTTTTTGTGATTAGCGACCCTTCCGACGCTCGCAACTTTTGGCCATCGAGCTTGTAGATTCGCCTCGGCAAAAAATGTTATGTACATCGATCAGATGTGCGTCAGACTTGCTCCTCGGTTGTTTCTGGCTCGTCCGTCATGTCCCGAACGCCCGTGTACTGGCTAATGATACACTACCATTCCTTGATGACTCGTATCAACCGATCTTGGTCATTCGCCGTTCAGACACGACCTCTCCCACGGCTTCATCATCGCTGTTGTTAAATTGGCTACTCTTTGTTTTTCCGTCAAGCTAGAACAGCGTCAGCATGACTTTCAGTTCTCAAGAGATGATTCAATGAACTTACCCTCTTCACCCCAAACGCGACTGCAACGTAAGCGAAGCAAACAACAACCATGGTGATCGCTCCCTTCTTCCAGTAGGGTACATCGGTTGCAGGGTAGATCACGATACCCCAAAAAGTGTACAGCAATAAGCCACTCATACTCATGGTATACAATACGACAGATCGCACAGCATCGTCTCCGAGTCTTTGCAGTATCGAATTGGCCCAGCCGTACATGACGGGGTTGACGATGAAAGACGTGGCACTGAGGTAGTGTGCAGTAAAGACCCCTGCGTCGGTGAGATGAGGTTGCAAGAGAAGGATGGCAGTGATAAGTTGCATTGCAGCAGCGAATACGACCATCGGGATACGCTGCCCAGTTTTATCGATGAAGATACCAGCACAGATTTGCGAGACAATTGCAACTGCTTGAATGCCAAGAGGGTATGTCGTAATAGCTGTTTGAGTAAATCTAGCTCTGTTGTGCTTGAGCCAGAGCAGGAACATGCCTTGAAAGGCAAAAGCTTCGAGCATTCCGCCAACAACAGACAAGCCGGCCAGTATGTAGATGTAGGGCGATTTGAGCACCTTTGGCAGCAGAGTCCTCCAGTGGATATCGTGGCTGTCGAGCTTCTTGACCGGCAGTCTTTCCACGGCAAGTTGGACTTCCTCCCTGCTGAGATAGGACGCCTTTGTGGTCTCCGGCAAATCGGGGAAGAAGAAGAATCCAAAGACGCCGACAGGAATACCCATCAAACCATTGATAAGAAACACCCACTGCCAACCTTTGAGACCGCTATTGCCATGCAGAGACTGATTCATAGCAGTCATCATAATACCTGCAAAAAGACTGCCTAGCTGACCAACAGCTGTAAAGATGGCAGCTCTCTTGGAGAGTTCAGAAGGCTTATACCACGAACCAAACACGTACATGCTGCCGGCATAGATGCTGGCCTCCAAGAAACCCTGGAAGAACCGAGCAGCGCAAAGCCCTTCGTAAGTCTTGCATGCCGCCAGACACATTGTGACCCCAGACCACAAGACCAGATTCAATGGCAGGTAGATGCGCGGCGCAATTTTCTGGATGAGCAACGCGTGAGGGATATGACCCACGACCGAGCCGGCTGAGAACATGGACAGAAGAATACTGTATTCATTGGCGACGAGACCCAAGTCCTCGCGTAGTCCGGAAACGTATGCGTTGGGGAAGGCTTGACAGTCGAGATAGTTGAAGAAGTAGCACGCACAGCAGTAGGTCTGGAAATTGTCAGAGAGAAATCAATCATGAGGTGGTGTGGTTGACTGTTGTACCATCACAAAACAATCTGTCAACAGGTCAGAGGTATTTGATGAGTAGTGCTTGGAGACAACGAACCAAGTTTCATCACGAGCTTTCGCTCCATGCCATTCTTCTCGGAGGAGGGATCTTTCCCTACGTCGAATTGTCAGATGTATCATACTAACAGTCGCAATCTTCTTAAGCTTGCATTGCTTCATGCAAAACGCCCATCAGAATGCAAGATGTTCTCTGAGTCGAGTGCCATATCCAGTGAGAGTGAGAGATTATCGCATTCTCTCTCAACAATCGCATTATGATGAGAATCTTCGTGCCCTCAAGTGATGGGATTGAGGCCCTAGCATGGTAAAGGAATGCCGGTCTCATGTAGATGATCTTGGAAGGGAAGCAGCATAGGAAAAACAAGACGTGATGAGAAAGAAAGACATCCTGTAGACTAGGAATAACACGACTTACGGTTCAAGAAATTCATGTTGCAGTCAAATAATAACGATGATTAGGTGTAGTCAGATGAAGGTTATCAGATCAGATGGAGAGATTGATAACGGGACTTGATCCGAGTTTTGTCTCTTATGAGGCTGAACTTTTGACTTCTCGACTACATCTCATCTAGTGGCTGAGTCGCTGGGCATCTTACAGAGATCTTTCGACCCCCTGTAGAGAAACTCGAGGTTGGGTGTGAAAAAGCGACAACCAGTCTTGGCTGTTGCTCAAGAGAGTTTTGTGGCGCTTGGATGGTGTAAAACAGCCGACGAATGATCAACGCGGAAGGATGAGTTACTTTATAATTGCACGTCGGAGACGAACACCACGAGATGGAATGTTGTTGTGTCTCTTGAGGGCAGATAACAAGCGCTGCGTCAGATCTGATAATCCAGGTTTCGATGCTATCTCGAGAGATCTCCGAAGCCCCATCAAATGTACCCAAGAACGCCGTGTACTTGGCGCTCGGGCAAGAACGGACGAGTCCGAGAACATCTCACTCATTATGGAAAGCTGGCTATCATTCTTCAGGAACGACGACTTTCCGATCTCGGTAAGTGCTGGGCCTGGAGAAAGACCATTAGGTCCTCCTGGTATAGTCATATCATCCGTGACGAATAGTGGTAAACTCCAAGACGAGGAAAGCAAGATATCCAATCAGCATTACCATACCAGCAACACGACTCCATCGAGCGCCAAACCATACAGTAAGTGCCATGAAAAGTGTCGAGCCCACGAGTACGCCAAGTTCAGCGATGTTGATTGTGTCATTGTCGACAGTGCCTGCGGTGCCGACCCACAACACGCCCATGCATAGACTGAGCAGGAAGATGTTGCTTCCAACAGCATTCGCGACCAGGATACCGGTTCGATTGCGACTACCACTGACCACAGCGACGAACTTCTCAGGTAAGGTAGTCGCGATGGAGAGGAAGACGACCCCAAACAGTACGTCTGAGAGACCAGTTTGATCAGCTATGGTTGATGCGGCGCTGGATAGGACAAAACTGCTCAAGACTATCGCTAAGAAGCCGAAGACCAGGGATGCCACATGGTACGATGTGCTATGCTTATGCTGCCGAACGATAGAGAGTTCCTGTTGTGCTTCCAGGAGAGGAGTTGTCGAGTTGACTTGCGCTCGAGAGATCGAAGTAACCTCTTCCTCGTCATCTTCACTGTCAATACTTTCACCCTCGCTTTCGCTGTCGCTGTCTGATTCCGGCGCAGTCAAGCGGCCCTTCACAATCAGATACGCGACTGAGGCGACATAAACAACAAACACAACAATCAAGATGACACCAATGGTTCTTGTTTGATCAAGAGAATCCCATTGAACCAGTCCAGTAAAGAGCAACGTAAGAAGAAACAGTATCAAAGTATAAGTCTTGGCACTGGCATCGAAAGTGATCAGCTCCTCCTGATTGCGGAAGATGAGACCCAGCGAAAAGGCGCCCAGGATGTTCGAGATGCCAGAGCCGACAATATTTCCAATGGCAAGTGAAGGGCGATTTTGCAACATGCAAGAAATCGCCACGGCCAGCTCCTCCCATTCTGCGCCGGCGGTCAATAGGCCAATGACAGCCTCGGGTATGCCAGTCCGGTCAGCGACGACAGCAGTATGGTCAACGAACTTGTCGGCTCCAAATTCGAGCACGAACAAAGCGCAGATGAAGCTTGCGACATTGTATGATATTATCCCCGCATCGGCCATGTGAGAGGTACTCGAGTACAGAGGTATTGCTGTGGGGTGATTGAGAGAAGTGACCATGGGTCCGCAGCGTGGACAGAAAGTCTTTCCCGGCTGGCCAAAAGTCGCGGTTGCCCCTTCCTGAACGTCTCCCGAAACTCCACCTTTCTCTCCCATTGACAACCGACAACATAGCGATACTGACACATCAGCAATCGGTGCGAAGTAGACATCGAGGTAGTCCTAGCTATCCGCAGTAGTCAAACTGGCAGCGCAAGTGGCGACGATAGAGCGCTTTTCCCCTCTGGTTTACCTGCCACCTGGTTCTCCTACTCCTAAAACAATATCCACACCTGGTACGAACACCACTTTGATTGTGATGATAGCATATCTTTCATTGGTATTTCTTCCTTGACCACACCAGAGCGTTCGGAATGAGTCGTCCTTCGATTTCTTTGTAAAGGACAAGCTGGAGCAAGACAATTTCACTTCCAAGATTGCTCAAGTAACATTGATATTGGAAGGATGCAAAACAATGTTCGGAGCCGCCGAGATGAATTGTACGACCGTTAAGGTACCGAGGACTGCATATGTGGGGTGACCGTTTGGCAACTACCCTTCTTCGACCATCTGTTGTTTCTTACAAATTCCCATGGGATCTTGACGTCTAATCAGTCTCGAATCATTGAAGTCTTCAGACTTCCACATGATATGTCCTACAAGTTTGGTATCCTGGGGCTCAGCGGCTCAATACATTGATTCGCTGATGTTCATTCAATCCTCCTTTTGGTCTCGACTCCGTAACGGTAGCTGAAAAACGGTCATCTTCTTAGAGGTTTACCACGATACATGTCTCAACGACTAGACATATCCTGTATACCAATCAAGCCACGAGTATGCATCGACAAGCTGAATATGCCTGCTTCGTTAGGCCCCCTGCGTATAGGCGTCACTAGGAGTAGTCACATCGGAGATAAATTGAGGTCTGCGCCCGAATATCTGCACCTTCCATTCACTTTTCGAGGTCGATATCATTCTCTCTCATCAAGACTATATTTTCATCAGGATCGGAAAGATGGGGGCCGCTCTTTCTTCGCCTCAGCTGGGTAATGGGTTAGTGTCTGTTGATAGCAGCTCTAGCACGCCTGTTGTGCCCTTTGTCACAGCCTTTTCAGTGGCTTCCACCGACACCAACTCCTTCGGATTCTCAGCCACCATGACAGATGCCGGTTACAGTGCTCATATCCGGTACACAGATTCTGCACACGCTGTATCGACTTTGGATTGCTCCATTGCGGCTTACTCGACTGATCATAATACTGGTGGATTCGCTGAAACCACGACTTATGGCAGTGTCTTATGCCCAGTCGCCAACATCGAGATTGGCACTGGTACTATGTTCGTCACAATCGATGTTGATCCTCTCGCCTATACAGGTTGGGAACCGGGAACATATGCGATTTACGTCGGACCATCTACGGCCACGACTACTGGTGATATCACGGTCAGCACGGCCGTCGTCCCCGGTCAGATAACCTATCTGGCCACTGAGACTTCGACTGTGTACCGCACCACGAAGACTGTCGCAGCTACGACTACACTTACTGGTGCTTATGCCGCGAGTCGTTGCACCAGTGTTTCAGAATCGACCCCAACGACTTTGCTGAAGACAACGGTAAAATCTTCGTCAACAAGGATATCAAGCTTGAAGTCATCCACGAGCGCATCTAGCTCAAGCAAAGTTCTGTCAGGAAGCTCCTCGACACAGAAAGCTACTACGAGCTCTGTCAAGTTGACAGTGTCATTGAAGTCCAGCTCGACCTCTAAAGCTTCCATGTCTTCACAAACTTCCAACTCCAAATCGAAATCTAGCAGCTCCAAAAGTTTATCGAGGTCTACCACATTTTCAACGTCCAGAATCACATCTTCACCGCCATCTTGCAACACTGGAGCTATCGTGAGGTCACTATCAAGCTATCCTCCGCTTGCAAGTCATCTCTGCCAAGAAGTTATTAGCAGAAAGCGTGCATTCCCTGCTTCAATCTCTGTGTTTCCGGATTCTCAGTTGTCGAGTGCTTGCTCTTGTTATATGAAGCCCACTGCAATCGCGGCTTCAAGTACAAAGAAGAGTTCTTTGTCCAAGAGACAAGACATGAGCGTTGATCAGGCGTCGATTCCTACCAGCACTCCAAGCACTACGCATACTTCACTAGCACAAACCTCCACAGAAGTCGCGGATGATAGCGGATTCACTACTTCTGAGGGACCTACGGTAGAGACTCCGAGTACCACTCCGCTGGCTTTGGAGATCTCGACCTCCAGCACGGTCTCTTCTTCGTCTCCATCCACAGAGAGCTCAACTTCTGATACAGTTATTTCTTCATCTTCTCCTACGACAACACTTTCATTCCAAGCAGATGTGACTTCTGTCTCAGGTTATGGTCCGCCCACTGCTTACTCTATCTCCACTACCACGCTGTATAAATCTACACAAATTGTATATTCGTAAGTCTACTTATCAAGACCGTCCTGACAACATAGACTAACTTGGACACAGGACTGCTCAGCCAAAAGTTTCGTCTGCAACCACCATTACCATCAGCAGTGCTACTTTGACTGTCAGTGGAAGCTCGGTCGTAACCGTAGACAAACGTACCCAACCCACAACCTGCGTTGGCAACTCCGATACCGTCACTCTCTCGGCAAGATCACTCAGCTGCGACAATCTGAAATTACACACCACATTCCTCTGGGTGATGATGGGAGCACCCTTCGACTTCTGCGCCTACTATTTGACCGCTAATCGCAACACCTCTCCGCTTTCCGAGATGAGCGCCAGCACTCTGAAAGATACTTGCAACTGTTTGATACAACACAAGACTTATCCATTACCTGTATTCAAGGATCAGGCTTCGTTTTCGCCAAAGAGCAGTCGGGTGTGTAAGCAAGATGTTGGCAAACGAATCAGTGCGCTTTTCCAAGAGTCGGATGTGTTTTGCAAGTTCTATACTAGTACTGCGAGATCAGTTTCGCCGTTCATTGGGGTTTCTCCTGCTGAAATATTTGCGGGATGCAAGTGTTTGGCTTAGAGCATATATTGTTGGGCGCTGCTACTTGAATACTTCCATAAGCGAAGAGTCATCTTCCATCTCCAGTATCGTGTCAAAAAACTTGACTCTGAAACCGCGAGTAAAGCAAAACCGCGTATCACAGTCCGAAGTGCAGGATGGCTATACCACAACTCTCGAATCCTCATACCTTATCCAACTCCAAAGATCCGTTCGCAGACGAGATGAGCTCAAGCTCTCCCGGTGCAATTGAACCATTTTGAATGGCTGCCGCATGACTTCTTGCGATGTAGCCGTAGGCAGGATAGTAAGTATCCAACCAAGGCAGTATCTAGCAACTTTAGCTGCTGCTCAGACGTAGCTGACTCAGAAACATTGACTTACAGTGGTGATGCCAGGTTCGAAGGTCCAGTTCTTCATGAGGTCGCAGACGATGTAGAAGAGCGATACAATGTTGACGCCGGCTTGACGCATCCGATCGTTGCTTATATCTCTTATCAACTCGGTAGTTGTGCCTTGGAAAAGAATGTCAGTTCGAACCTGCAGGTGCTAGGTCGATCACTTACCGCTAGCCTCGACATTGGCCCAGACGCTATAACCTTCTTCCCGAAGAGCCAGAGCCAGGAAAGTGGTGCCTAAATATGAATCAGTCAAGCTAGAGGGGGACAAGTGGTAGATAAAAGATACATACAAACGTCAGTGACTATTCCTCCAACTATAATCTGAGTTCTGTTGGTCGCACGCACGGCATCTCTGAAATGCTCGTTGTCCCAAGCGCTGACTTGACCATTACGTTGGATCAAAGGCGCATCAGGATACATCTCCAGAATCTCCTTTGGCAAAGGTCCATTAGGTCCGTTCTGAGCAGAAGTGGTCAAGATGACAGGTATATCGAAGATCTGTCCGATTGCAGCGTGAGCCAGCAAGTTGCGCTGGTAAAGAGTCGGATCGAAGTCTCTTGCAAGACCGTACAAGCCAACTTGAAGATCGAGGATGAGGAGAACAGCTTTGTCGATTTCGAGACGCTCCCATGGCACCTTGTCGGCGAAGATGGGAGTGAACAATGTTGCGAGCGCAAGAGAAAACAACTTCATGTTGGGCAAAATCTTTTTGTGCGAGGTCTATCTTTCAAGCCTTCTTCACTGGGGATCTTATACCTCCTTCTTTTTGCCAGAATACATGAGGGGTAAATTGGGGACCCTTGAGCAAAGACACAAAAGGTGTCACAATCAAAGGTTGCCACGTTCCGGGGGTCGAACCATCTTGGTGGACTTTTCGCAACCGGTGCCACGGTCTGACATGCATGAATGCCTCCTCTCCTTTTGGAGGTGGAAGTATGGTTCGGCAGGGGGGACCTTGATCATGGGCATCAATATTGGCAATATTGAGGCACTGAGAAAAAAGCAGAGCGTATCATGACTTCTTTGGTGGTGAAGAAAAAGCGGTGCGCTATATGTGTTCCAAGCCACCGCCGAATTGCAGTCCGGAGGACACACCATTTTGTCAGACTTTCTAGTTGTATGTATAATTGATCTTGACTCGACAGACGTCGCGAACGTTGAGCGTTTGGCGAAAACCCGAGTATAGAAGCGAAGAAACCAATTTGGTGAAGTTCGGATAGATGCCATGAGGTATAGACGAACGACACGAAGAGAGATCAGACGAGAATACAGGGGCTGACAGACGTTTACAGATGGAAGCCCTGCACACAAGGCCGTCAGCAAGAATCTGCGTGCAACTTGCATGAACGAAGCAAGCCTAAATCTGCCACAAGAGCGTCTACTCGGGTACATGCGCTCTTTGCTTGGCATGGTGACCAGGGTTTGCGGCTACCTCATTCTGGACAAACGATACTTTACTTTACTATGAGAGAAGCGGTTCTGCCGAAAGATGCAGGTAAGCCTCAGTGGGTTGTAGAAAGCGAGCTTGTATTGTGGTGACTCGATTGGAGATCTTATCCTGAACCTTGATATGATTGCAACAAATCGTTCTCAAAAGGACAATGCAATCAGATCATTGGACCAAATACGAAAAGCTTAGTACTTGACAACCTCCTCGTGCGTCTCAGTGCCATTCTTCTCCATGGCGATAGCAGCGCCCTTGGGATCCTCAAGAGCATGGGGTACCAACTGGTCACCGAACAACTCATCCATCTGCTCCAGAGTCTTGCCCTTGGTTTCTGCGAGCGCTTGGTTAGTACCATCTCAGGTCTAGAGGCAGATTCAAACTTACCAGGGTAGAAGAAGATGTAGCAAAGCATGGCAATGATGTTGAACACAAAGAAGACGTAGAAGTAGCGGAAGCCAATCGAGTCGAGTGCCTGAGGAGTGAATTGTGCGAAGATGAGGTTGAGTGTCCAGTTGGTGAATGTGGTAGTGGCATTTCCGAAGGCTCTAACCTCAACAGGGAAGATCTCGGCAGGGTAGACCCACGAGATGATACCCAACGGAGTGTAGAAGAGAGAGAAGACAAAGTTCATGGCTACCATAGCACGAAGCATGTTGCCGTTACTAGGATTCAGGTGCTGAGACATAGCGGCGTTACAAACAAGAGCGGCTCCGAGACCTGCAGCGGAGATAATAAGAGGCTTGACACGACCGAAACGCTCGAGTGCCCATAGACCAATGGTACAATAGACAATGGACAATGATCCACTGATACCGATAATCATTAGCGAGGTGGAGTTGTCGATACCAAGGATCTTGTAAATCTCAGGTCCGTAGTAGTTGATGACATTGATGCCACTGAGAGGTCCAAAGGCTTGGACACCACATCCGAGAAGGAGACGCTTGCGCCAGCTGGCCTTGGTGAAGATTGTGCTGACAGAGGTCGAGTTGTTGATGCGATCCGCTTCGATTACATCCCTGATCTCACGGAATTCGAGCTCGATACGCTGATCAGTCTCTGCAGTTCCGTCGTGGTGGAGCTTTTGCAGAACAGCTCTGGCCTCTTCCCATCTGTCTTTCTCGCACAGCCAGCGAGGACTCTCTTGCAGGAACCAGATACCAGAAACCAGAATGACGGCGGGAATGCACTGGAAAGCAAGAGGGAAACGCCCTGTTCTCGGCGTTAGTATTTTGCGAGGAAGCGCCTTTGTTTGAGTCTTGCTTACATGAAAAGGGTCCCTTGACGTGCTGGCATCCATATCCAATCCACTGAGCAGCGAAGAAACCCCAAGACAAGAACCATTGGAGAGCACCAGAGAGGGCGCCTCTGTACTTGGACTCGGAAATCTCAGCAGCATACATGGGGATAGTAGAGGTAAGCATGCCAACAGCAGCTCCGGCGACAAATCTGCAACGTGATGTCAGAACAGTGTTGTCTGGACTAGCCTCAAAGTATCTCACCTTCCAACCATAAGCATGGCCATGTTGACAGCTGCGGCTTGGAGAACACAACCGATCAAGGAGACAATGGAGCCTGCAGCAATGGTCCTCTTTCTGCCCAGACGGTCGGCGATGACCATGTTGATAATCGTGCCAAGAACAGCACCGCCTTGGAATGTGGACACAATGCCACCAGTGACCGTGCTGTTTGGGTCGTTGAAGTATTCGATGAACTGGGGGAAGGAAATGACTCCTCCGATGATACCGGAATCATAACCAAAAAGGAAACCTCCGATGGCGAGGAAGGCACTCGACAAGATGACAGTTGCTTTGCCCATGATGACTGATCGATGAGTCGGTCGCGAAGATGCTGTTTTTTCTGAGTCCTGGGGAAGGATCTACAGGTCCTTATATACACATGCATGGTCTAGTCCACCCTTCTCCACACCCCAGCCCGGGGTATGTGCCATGGGGAACAACGGCAGATCGTGGCGAGTACAGTGAGAGGTTCCGAGTGCAAACTTACTGGCGTTGATCATGAGACGTTCAACGACTCGCTCTACAACAAGGGATGAGAAGTTAATTCTGTTTGATTCGGCCGAGATTGAAAGCGCAAGGTAGGGTTCTGTCTTGTATTCATACTGCGAAGTGAGGGGAGCCCTAAAAGCACCTCCAGAAGAGGACATGGCGTCGGTGCATCTCTTGCGAGGTTCGTTAGTCGCGAACGGTTCGCTGCATCTCGCGCGAAATCATGCCCGTAGTCGGCATATCTTCGAACCGGGGTTGCCGACCGTGCCTTCTTGTGCACTTTCCTTAACATGCGGCCATGGCGTGCGGAGAGCAGGAAGAAAGGTCCTTCTGGTTCGCTCTTTCCCTTGCTGTCGCTTCACGGCAGATCCCCCGCATTTCGGCAATCATTCTCGGCCACCAACCGCGGCCATGAAAGTCGCGAGCTGCGGCATCCACGGTTTTCACGAAACCATCGGTCTCGACGTTGACCAAATTCGCGTCTTTTGGACTCTTGAGAGCGATGAGTATGCTGTACAGACCGCATATCGGGTCGTAGTTTCGACCTCCAAGCGTGATCTCGCAGACGACGGCTCGATCAATCCCAACGCTACCTGCGATTCCGGCAAGGTCGCGAGCGACGAGCAAAGGAACATCTTGTGTAAGCCGGACGATGGCTTTCGGTCCACATGCAGTTATTATTGGAGAGTGACTGTATGGGATGAGCATGACGTCGCGACTCAATCCGATGTGCAGACCTTCTTTACTGCATATCCTCGGTCGCAGCTACTGCCGCCCTATTCCATGAATCAAAAGTATATGCCACATTCGAGTCTGATCTTTCGCACGTGGTTCGAAGACATTGAGAATAAGTGGAAAGCTGTATGGATCGGAGACGGTGGTGATAAGCCATTGTATCTTCGCAAAGGCTTCAACCTGGCTCGTAAGCCCTGCAAAGCCATCGCACTTGCGTCTGGCCTCGGACATTTTGATCTTCATGTCAACGGGCAGCCTGCTTCTGACCATGTCATCGATCCTGGGTGTAAGTGATGTCGCATCACAAAACAGAATTTTATGCTAAACCTTACAGGGTCCAACTACCATCGCACTGTGCAGTACGTCGGGTATGACCTGACAGCACACATTGACGCTGGAGACAACGTCCTCGCGGCACACTTGGGCAACGGCTTCTACGCTGGTAGTGGTACTGAGGAAGATCGCTTCTTCTGGCCAATGTACGAAGACAATACCTACGTTCGTTACGGAAACGAGCTATGCTTCTTCGCTGAGCTTCACCTGTTCTACGAAGACGGCACACACGACATCATGCATACCGATCCCTCTTGGAAGGTACGAAAGAGCGCGACAACTCTCGCAAATATTTATGCATCCGAGACACACGATATGCGGCTATACCCTTCTGGCTGGACATCTCCTAGTTTCAACGAAGCCGAGTGGGTATCCGCGAAGCCTCTTACAGGACCTCGTGGACTTCTTCGCTATCAAAGTCAACCGCCTGTCGTTTTGCACGACAAGCTCGAACCCGTTTCCACGACTACTCCACGTCCTGGTGTCGTCTGCTTCGACCTTGGACAGAACGCCTCCATCATGCTTCATCTCGCTGTAGAAGGCCCAGCCGGATCTGAGATCATAGTACGATATTCAGAAACAGCGAACGAGGATGGCACGGTGTTGATGCCTGATCCATTGTTCAAGGACTTTGAAACAAAAGTCTACTGCAAGATCTACTTGGCCGGGACCGGGGCTCCAGAGAATTGGCGACCCGACTTCTCATTCACTGCTGCTCGTTACATCCAGATCGAAGGTGTATCGACGGAGGAAGGACTGGGACTGCCTGTGGTCAGATCAATCCACGGCAGGCACATCTCGTCTGCTTCTACCCGTGTTGGCTCCATGAAGACAGACAAAGAAGACGTCAATGCACTTATCAAGGCCTCGCATTGGTCGCTGTCGTCAAACATCTTCAGCTACCACACGGACTGTCCCCAGATCGAGAAGTTTGGTTGGCTCGAAGTGACTCACTTGCTAGCTCCTGCGTCGCAATATGTCTTCGGTATGGAAGCTCTGTACACCAAGATCATATACGACATGATCGATGCTCAAGAGCCGAGTGGTCTTGTTCCGACGATGGCGCCGGAGATTAGGTATATGTGTGGACCTCTGCACGACACTATCAGCTGGGGTGGGGCACTTTGTCTCTTGCCTGAGCTGCTAGTTAAGTACTATGGTTCAACTTGGGTGATACCTCAAGTCTACCCTGCCGCTGTTCGCTACATGGACTATATGAAATCAAAAGAGCGCCTCGGAGGTTTAATCGAGCACGGTCTCGGTGATTGGGGACGCGATATCGCATGGGGCAACCTTCAAGCCAACATCGAAACAGCATACTACTACAAATGCCTCCAAAACACCGAGATGATGGCACGCCACCTCGGCCGCACTGAGGAAGCAGAAAAATATAAGACCTGGGCCGCTCGTGTCTACGATGTCTACAACAAAGAACTCCTCATCACCGACGACGAATCTCTCCCATACACCTACTACACCTCCCGCGACAACATTGGTCAGCGCGACTGTCAAGCTGTAGCTCAAGCTTACGCATTGCAGTTCAACATGGTCCCTGCAGAGCACATCCCCTCAGTCCAACAAGCTTTCCTCGCCTCCGTCTCAGACAACCGCATTCGCTCCGGCGAACTCGGTCTCAAATGCATCTTCGAAACCCTCATTGACCTCCAACGCCCCGATATCGTGCTCGCAATGGCGAGACAAGAAGAACACCCCAGTTACATGCGTTTCCTTCGCAAGGGTGAGACCACATTCCTCGAGTTTTGGCAAGACGAATGTAGATCGAAAAGCCATGATTTGTTCTGCACTATTCATGAGTGGTTTTATGCTGGGGTGTTGGGGATCAGACCTGTGGGAGACGCGTATAGAACATTTGTGGTCAGACCGCCTCATGATTCTGAGTTTAAGGATGTGGAGGGATTTGTGGACTGTCCTTATGGTCGCATTGCGGTGAAGTTCAGTCAGACTGCTGAAAAAGTGGTGCTGAATCTCACTGTGCCTGTTGGGACTGAGGCCTCGATTGCCATTCCAGAGAACTTCGGGTCTTCGGTCAAGGTGCTCCGAAGTGATCAGGAGGTGATGGCAGACCAGTTGGGGCAGACTCTGAAGTTAAAGAACGGTGGCTACTCTATAGAGTTTCGCTGAAAGTTGATCTGTATATACTTCGCTCTTGTGAGCCTCGAACATCACTTTGAATATCCTACCCCTCAATGAACCTTGTGGCGCATCATGTTACTCGTATCTCCAAGCGTCTCAGACGGGGGCTAGAGCGCTTGCTTTACATCTAGGCCCTGCATGAACAGAGGGCAAGAACCCAATCCGACTCACAGCAGCGCTTCTCCGATGAGATGGGTTTCGATTTCAGCAGTGAGACATCCGTCAGCATGGTAAATCCACAAATACAACAACTCTATTTGGACATTACATCTTTGAACTACCCAAGCCCCCAGATAATAGAGAAGCTGCATCTCCTCGCTCTTCTGAACATCACTCAATCATTCCGGCACAGGGCAGAGGTCATAGTTGCCATTGCTGTTATTCCCCCACCAACTCGGGAAGGGCTTCGAACTTCCAGCAGCGCCAAACACGGCAAATGACAAGATGAACAGCGCCAACAAACTAGCACCATCCATAGCACCAGTCAGCAAGTAAGAGTAGTCCTTGAAAATACGAGGGCGGTAGTTGCGAAGGTAGAATTGCGTGAAGAAGCCAGCGATAAGTTGACTGAAGATGACGCAAGTCTGGGACTGGTTGTAAGGGATATAACCAGCATAGGCGATGAATTGAGGCATGTTGATGTCGTAGGTGGAGAATTTGCGGATCTTGGGGACGAACTGTGATTCAGGTCAGTAGACGGAATGGACACAGGTCAACAATGTAGCATACCTGAACGAAGATGCGGTGGACAACTACTAAACCGGCGCCGACGGCAACACCGATGGGAACAGCCGAGTAAGTGGTACCGGTCTTGTACAAGTACTTGGCGAGAGCCCATGAGCTGGCGTTGGTGTTGTATGACTGAATAGTAGCTCCACTCCACGAAGCATTACCATTGCCGTTAGTGAGAAGCTCGGCGTTGCCACTGACGATAGAAATCATAACAGCGTAGTTGAGGAAGCCACCCAAGATTGTGCCATAGATCTGGGTGACGAACATGACGCGGGGAGGGATCTTAAGGTACTCGCCCATCTTCAGGTCATTGCAAAGGTTAACGGTATTGGTGATGACGTTGTGGGACCAGGCGGCAAAGTACATATTACCAACGGGGCGGCCAGGAAGCGCCAAACCAGCGATCATCTTGGATAGGTTATTGGTGGCGATACCATTGCCGAAGCGAGAGTAGATCAAGGCACTCTGAGAACACACTGGGTCAGACAAACAATACTCTAGTGCCGAGGTGGGAAACTTACGAATGGAGCAACGATGATTCCGGAGATCAAAGCAACGACGTAAGCCCAGACCGGCATAGTGATGTTCTCTTTGATCACGACGATCAAGCCGAGAACGAAGCTGAAGACAAGCACGGCCATATACCACCACCAAGGGACTTCCTTGTAGTTCTTTGCCATGTGTTGGTGGTGACGGTCGTCGTATCTCCCTTCTCTGGCGCTCTTGTATGTTTTCTTGATGTCGCCGCCCCAGAACAAGATGGTATGGGCAATGAGAGCACCGATCTAACATGACGATCAGTCAAGCACTGAATGAGTCCTTGGGTTATAACTTACAGCAGCATTGGCCATGAACATGGCATAAGCAAAGGTTCCGGTCAGGCGAGGTATGCCATACTTCTGCAGGGCCTCTTCGTCCAGAACTCCGCCTACAAAGACCTTAGAGATTGGATACTTCTTTCCGTCTTGGGATCTAAGCTGCGTGGACATGAAAGGCTGCGACTTGGACTCCCATGTGTCTGTGTAGTAGATGATCAACATGACGATCATGCAGACAAACACGCCAATCGCAACATGACCTTGCAGGATGAGGGGAAGAGAAGTATTGAAAGAAGTGATCTGTAGATTATAGGGTCAGCTTGTAATTTTTCAGAGAATAACGGTGCCTTACGTATTGCCAGTCAAACGACACAGTGAAAAGACCCAAGCCCTCATTGTTGGTAGCTCCACCAAAGAGATTTGTCAAGACAGCAGCCTTCTCTCCTGTAGCCTTCATCGAAGCTAAGCAAGGGATCGATACAGAATTTAGCCATGGAAAGATGTATGCAGGGAAGAACTCGTAGAAGAACATGCCCACGAAGGTGTACCAGAAGAATCGCAGTGGCTTTGAGTTCTTCACTTCCTGCCAGTGCAAACCTTGGAGCGTCTTGACTGTAGGAAGTGTGCTCCAGTATACGGCTTCGACATGCCACACAGCAATGGGTCGCAGCAAGCCACATAGGCCGTAGCCAAAGAGGCCGATTGAGATCATGGTCAGAATTACAGTTGCCGGGCTGATAGGAAGATCATAGAAGAGTTCCTGGGCAGCAAATACCAGAGAGACAGCAGCCGCATTGGAAGCCGAGGTTGCAGTAATTGAGCAGATGGCATGTTCTTTGAGCCCCCAGGGTCCGGGGTTGATAAACACCAAAAAAGAGATCCAGAAGGGCGGCTTGTTGTCTCCGTTATTTGCTCTCCATCTAGTAAGATGACGGTCACCACGGGGAAGAAATTTGGCCCAAGCATTGCCGACAAAGTAAGCAATGAGCACGATGAAGGTGCCTTGAATAGTGATCGAAGTGGGTTTGAACTGGATAAGGAGATAAGCGTCTGATCTGGTCATATTCCATCATCATCACTTGACTGACCGTATAAATCTGGTTCATGACAGCTTGGAATGCAGAGAGACACGAAGCCAGGAAGATACCACGAAAGGTCACGGATGCGTCACCATCATCGCGGAGTGGCAGCAGGTGGGCGGCCGCATCGGCACCAGTAATGATAATGTGGTCTGGGTTGTCAGTCTTCTCGAAATCATCACTAGCATTGTCCGGGGTAGTAACAGCGGTGATCTCGGTGTCCAATGCAGCTTTCTTCTCCGCTCCTGTAGTGTATGCGGGGATGGTTGCGTAGTCGGAGACGAGGTCGCCAGTGGTTATCGATTCGGCATTCCCAGTAAAAGGCTCGACAGGAGTGAGGCCATTTGGAACCTCCATGGCGTGAGACATGATGACTGATTGAGAATGTCAAAAAAATAGTGCTCAGGAAGAGGGCAAACGATGTGGCAGAACCTCGTGCTTATAAGTTCATCTCATCATATTCCATCTCGTGTCTTGACTGTGGATGCTCCCGCCATCAAGCCTCAGGATAACGTAGAGCATGGTGTGACAAAACAAGCGAAGTATTGTCCCTTACGATAGGGGTACTGAAGGGTAGGATCCGAGCAGGGCAAAACCGGCAAACCATGATCGACATTCTAGAGTTTACAGTGGAGACAGAAGACATTTTGGCGATGCTTGTAGGTACGATATGGCGCAATTTAACGTCGGGTGTTTAAGCGCTCGGAAAGCACGGTCGATATGGACGCCCAAAATGATTTTGTGCTAACCGAATATGGCAGGTAGGATAAAGTAGGACTGTCAACATCTGGTTGGCGAATAACGACATATAGGTGCAGAATTGTCACATCGTGGTCTGTGCTTGGCATTCAGTGCTTGTTGTGTCTTGTAATTTTTGGTTGCCTGGAAATTCGACAAGTTTAGCAGGGGGATCTGGATGACTTGGCTGCTTTGGCGAAACATCATTTGATATGCGATAAAACTCGACATGATCACAGGTGAGGCGGGGCCAGACCAGCACGAAATGATCGAGATTGGTCGATGTTGAATGTAACCCTCCTCGTTCCAGTGCGGCTGGGTGCTGATGGCACTTCATGGATCTTTCCAATCAAAATTCTTTGTTCGACGGTACACCTTCCATGCTTTCTGGCCCGTTGTCGACCTATCTCTGCGCCGCATCATCAGATTAAGGCAGATTTAGTTGTGTGACATGAAATCTCGAGCAAAAACATGTCCAGAGTCCAGAAGAACAGGCTGCAGTTGAACCTTTCCAGACATCATATCCGGCTCCCAGAGATCGTTCCAGCGCTCCAGTCCATGGGTGTTCTTTGCCTTTGCTATTGGAAATCAGTCTTCTTATCTCTCCGCTGCACTTCCATACGCTCTTGCTTGCGTTTCCCCCAAATCGTTCCAGATGCCGACGAATTCAATCTCCTTTTCTCAGGCAGTGTATACGTTGATCCGGTAGGCAGCAATTTTGGCACGAAGCTTTCCATCACCGAGAAATACGACGCGCATTATGAAGGATCTTCCAAAATCGTCCCCGTCCCCAAGACGTATGCTGATGATTGTGAGTGAAGCTTTCGCCGCGGGCTGGGATCGAGCTAATCTGCTTGTCAGAAAGTCACCACCACGTCCGAGATCAGGTTGCCCACAAGTCTGACCAAGTTCGGGAGGACAGTGTCCAGGAGCACAATCTGCAGGATATGTGTGGTCACCGTGATTGTCCATTTCAGCATGTTTTTCATCGTTGATCTTTAGTCCCTGACAACCGACTTCACCAGCCCAGTATTTCTGAGGATGAAGGTTTCATCTTCCAGTCGATGGTCCGAGTGGTGTCGATTTTCCAGCTTGTGAATTTACCTTGACGGCTTCTTCCTGGAGGCAAACTTGAACCTCCTCTGTCGCATACCCAATGTTTCAGTGGTACACCTCCGCTTCGTCTGCAGCGTTGTTCACATCAGAATCATAGATTCCCTCGGACTATTCTTCCCTCAAACTACCTGTCAGACGAATGATCTGCGTTCTCGTCAGACTCATCGATGTCAACGTCGGGTGCTCTTTGAAAGAGCATAGGCAGCAGGGATTTCAAGCAAACAACTTCGGCGGGGCAGGTGCGTCCCCGCAGTGGGCGTATTTACCAGCCTCGAAGGACCTTTCCTACTTGGGTCGTCAAGTATAAACACCGCTAAGTACCTTTGACTATGGTTATGCTAAGGGCTGCGGAATCTGACTCTAGCGCTCGAGTAGGTGTTCCACGCTGATGGGAATCGTTTTTCTCGCACTCTCGAGGGCAAGACTGATCATCTTTGCAATCAGCACGACAACCTCCTAAAGGCCAGATACACGACATCGCATTCTCATGTAGTAGTAAGTGAGATCTACGATGACAGAAAACGCACTACTTCACTATGATGCGGTTGACTACAGCTTCAAAAGATATGCGATGTTTCTGTCAGGGTCAGATGTCTGGCGAAAAGACTTGGTCGCAAATTCGGTCACACACCCGAAGTACTAGTCAGCCATATTCGTCGCGTCGCCGGTATCGATCACATCTCGACTCTGTCTTCCGCGCCGCACAAAGCACAATATAGCGATACGCACGTAAATTGGAAATTGCCCACGAGACAGGAGCCACTGACTCCTATCGGCGCCTCTTCGCTTGATAGCGCAGCCGCAAAACCAATTGCGCGAAATCCAGAACGTTTCCGAACAACTTTTCTCCAGGATCTTTCTTGACATCTCTCGTTTTCAGAATCGATTTTCAAAAGGCCATCAAGGTTGGAGATGGTCATCAGAAACAAAGTCCGTCATTTTCGCGTTGATGTGCAAGAGGTGATCAGGGACTTGACGTCCGCCGCGGCTATACTCACCGTCTTCATTTCCTGTCCTTCCTTTTCGGGACGGTGGCTTGCTGTATGCAGGAACGCCATGGTTCTTGTCAACGGCGCATGCCAATCTCAGGCACCCCACATGCTTGTCCTCTTTAAGCATCTGTATATTGTGGTATACGATTTTATTGGTCGGGCGCGAACATCGTTTGGGTTTTCGTAGGATTCGGAGAGTTGGGACTTGTTGTCTCGGGAGATTGGTGCCGTGGAGGAAGCAGAAGTGAGGTGGAGGATAAATTGGAGGTGAGGCCCATGCCATTGGTCTTGCATTTTCTACCATACTTTGCGATTTTCTATTCCACTTCTGTCATTGAACACTCAATCAAGTCGAAATGAGATACAACATCGCTATTGCCACTCTGGCCACTGTGGTCGCCGCATCCGAGCACCCCCTCCTTGCTGCCCGCCAAACCGACAACACGGAAGAATACATCCAAGAAGTCTGTTTCCCAAACACCACCTCGCCAGTCCCCCCCTGTCAGGCAATCCTCAACATCGAATCCGCCTGCCTTCCCAACGGCACTTCCACCCTCGCCTACGAAGCCCATCAACAATGCATGTGCAACGGCGGTTACTTCCCCAACTGGCGCGGCTGCCTCAACTGTCAATACGTCCACGGAACCCGCAGTGAAGCCGTCGCCGAAGCTTTCGACAACATCTTGTCCTCCGCATCACAGCAATTCTGCACTGGCACCCCTACCGCAGTGTTCGCGGACTATTTCTCCGCATTGAGTGATAGCTCGCCGCAGACTGCCACCGGTGCTGCTACGACCACGAGCGATCAGTTCCCTAGCCAGAGTGCTGTGAGCTTGTACTATACAGCCAGCGGTAACCAGGGACCTGGCGCCATCACTGGAAGCGCTGCTCAAGCTACAGCTACCGCCTCTGCTGCTTCTGCATCCAGTGGCAGTCTGGCTGCTAGTGCTGCGACCACTTCCGCTGCTAGAACTTCTGGTGCATCCAGCAGTGCTAGATCGAGTTCGGGCTCGATGACTTCGGCGAGATCGAGTGGAAGTTCTAGCGGTTCGGCTGCCTCTGCTGCTTCGACTTCGACTGGGCAAACGGGCGGTGCCAATGCTGTTGCTGTTAGTGAGGGATTGCTCGCTGTTGTCGCCGGAGCTATGATGTTGCTGTAAAATCTTCTAGAGGTAATGGTGATGGAATCATGTAAACGTAATAATGTCTAGCTCGAGTAATGGCAGAGATTGAGGGAGGGAATTCCAATGATCATCTAGTGTTCCGCTTCGAAGGTGCGAGGTATGATAATGCGATAAAGACTGCACTCGCCGACATTGCGGCTCCAGTAAAGATGACCAAGGCTTTGTATCTGGTGTATCCGTAATCATGGTTGTTGGTGTCCGAGATCAGCAGCGCACTACTGATGGGTCCAGCAAGCACATTACCAATACCTTGAGCGAAGGAAAACAGACAGAACATGGTCATCGAATCGCTTTGTTCAGTCGCAACAGCTGTACCCATGCGCACTCTCATGGCGAGATAAGCGTAGGCGAAAAAGCCATAGATTATAGCGAAGACGACCAGTGCAGCGAGCGACTTTGCCAATCCCCAAAGAGTCAACGCGACAATCGTCGACACCAGCATTGTGGAAAGAAGAAGAGCATTGAGCGGGAAGCGACCGTCGGAAAGGTAGCCATAGGTGAACTGGCCAAGGACCGAGGACACATTCATGAGTGCAATCAGTGTGGCTCCCATTCTCGAGCTTAGCCCCACAGTAGCGGCATAAGATGGCAAATACAGAGATGGTAGATAGAAGCCCAAACTTTGGGACATTGTCGACAAGATATACAACCAAAAGATTGGCTTCTTTAGAAAGCTCCAGTCCGTTCTGGCGAGAGCGTTGGTGTGGGAAGCAGGAAGGCGTCTTTTCATAGAAGGAAGTAGTGGGCCGGTCATGATGATCGAAGCCACAGCCATAGCTCGGAGGGTGGTCTTGTAACCGTACTTGTGCAGTAATGCTTCATTGATGAACGGATATGCGACTCCAGATGCACCGGAGGAGCCGAGTAGAATACCCCAAGCAAGGCCGCGACGAGCTACCCACCATTCGTTAACCATGCTTACAACCGGATAGAAGATGATGAGGTAGCCAGTTATCGCATGTTAACTCCAGGTCTCGCGCAGCAACACATCAAATAGGACTCACTGCCGTACATGATGCCCTGGGTGGCAACCAAACTACCCATGGTATCGGCAAAGGATCCAGCGACCAAAGCGCCCAAACATGTCACCCAACCCACAACAACCATATGCCTCTGATACATCGGAAACTTTTTGACCAGCGGCGCCATCAACGGAGCACCCAGATAAGCGATACCTGTAGCTATACTGCCAACATAAGTGATGAAAGGATTACCCTCAAACTGCGGCAAAGTCGAATAGTATTCCTGGAAGATACCGAAAGATAGCGGAAACCCCCAGAGAATGGCTTCGAACATGAAGGCGGCGAGTAAGACGCGCCAGGCTTCGAGACCGCCATCGACGGGTGGGAGGTGCTGGGGTGGTGCATGGTGATGTTCGGTCTCTCCGGCGACCAATTCGCGGTCGCGGTGGTGGGTTTGCGGAGATGCTGCATTGTCGAAATGTCGGAGCTCCACGGAGCTCAAGGTCGTTGTGGTCATGGTAAAGAGCGAGTAGGTCTTAGCTCGAAGGATTTTGCCATTCCTGGGGAAATGATTCGAGGCTCTGTTATATACTCTTGCGAAGGTGGTCAGATGTAGGGCGCGGATTTTAAGGTTTTCCGGCGGGAAACTCGGCATCAGCTCGACAGACCGTTCCCCGGGGAAGTGGAAAGAAGGCAATGCAGACACGAAGAACTTGCGAAAATAAATGATAGAAAGAAAACCATGAATCACTTGGATATGAAGAAGTATAGAAAAGTTATATGCAAGAGGGCAGAAATTAAACACATCAATCACCTGTTGGCTTCGACCTTCTTGACCAACTCACCACCCAATCTGGCCATCTCAGCCAAAACAGCACTCTTGTTCAACTCAGCAATAACCTCCTCGCCCTTCTTCACCGGCACAGTAGAGTACGACAAGTTGACCTTCCAAGCTCTGGCAGCGGTAACAGGACTCCAAAGACCAGCAATAGTAGTGCTGCCAGCGCCACCGTAGAACAGTGCTAATGACTGACCATACACAGTCTGCAGCTCGTGGAAGTATGCATCTGTGGGTGTGTAGTCGACTAACTCGGCATCTGTCTCCTCGGCAATGGCAAGATTCTTGTACTTCCCACTTGCAACCTTTGACTTGTTCGAAGTGTAGGCAGGGTTAAGATGGATGACAAAGTCGTAGTCGGCGAGGGGTGAGACGAAGAGGGTCTCGACGTCAAGTGCTAATGACTTGGCCTCGACCTCTGCGGTGGCAGCCTTGGCAAGAGCAGTCGTGCGGCCGCATACGACCTTTGCGGGTGTACCGTCGGTCCAAGTAGTACCCTCGACATCGTTGCTGCTGGCGACAAAGAGCACAACACGGTTTAGTGCCGGGTCCAATTTGCGCCAGGCCTCAAAGCGTGTCGTCGCTGCTGCCACGTTATCTGTATTGAGGTCACCACCGAGATCTACGATCAATGGGTCGGCACGCCAATCAAAGCGTGAGAGGAAGGTGAGAGTACGTAAGAAGGCGGCTTGAGGTGATGATGGTGTGTTGTATGGCCAAGGGCGAGTGAATGTGTTGATAGCGAACAATTCAATGACCTCTTCCGAGAAGTGATTGCTGAGCAGGTGCTCTGAAAACCACTTCTTCAGAAGACGGACGGTGGGTGAGAGCACTGGGTACCTCGTACACAGCTTTTGCAGAGCTTGAGTGTGTGCTGGTGACTTGATGAAGACGCGCTTGTAAGTAGCAAGAGCGATTGCTGCGGTCTCCTTCTCGCTGGGTGCAGCAGATTGGGACTTGAGAATTCGCTCAACAAGAGTCTGCTCTCTATCGTGATGAATGCGTATACGGAATGAAAAGCCGGTGGGATAGATGACGTCGAGGAAAGCTTGGTTCAAAATCTCCTCGCCCTCATTTTCAAGGCCGATGCGGCTGGTGACACCTTCCGATGATGACTCGAAAAGCTCACCGATCTTGAGCAAAAAGGCAATCTTGGTGCGCTGGATGGCGACGAGGTCGTCCGGCCATCTACCAGATCCTTCGAACTGGAGGACGACATCGGCAGGACGTTTCATTTGACGTTGGCTTGAAAGTGGGGGCTCAACGGAAGAGTAGCGGAGTTGAGAGTCGGCAGCCAAGATGGAACGAATGGTGAGTGGCAAGTCGTCCATACCACGAATATCACTCTCCAGAGTCTTGAAGGCTTCCATCAAAGGTTGGAAAGCAGCAAGACCGTTGCTTTGTTTGATCAATCGGCAGCTTTCATCGCCGGAAAAAACGGCGCTCGCAGCTGCGTCTTGTCCGAAATGGCGGTAAAGCAAGAATGTGATGATTTGCTGAAGGATGGGCATTTCGCTGTTGGCAGCCCAGACCAAACTCTCCAGAATGCTACCATCTCTGAATCTGCGGAGTTCTGCTTTCTCACCCCAGAATTGACGGAAAGCAGCAGCCTCCTTCTTCTGCTCGGCAGCAGGGCCGTGATCAACGGCACGAGAGGCATTGGCAGAATCGAGGTTGACAGCGATCAGGAGATCACCCTTACGCTCCATATTGGGTCTGGCAGAACCGAGGCCCCATGATTCCTGTTCGGGAGAGTGGATTGTGACATGAGTAGCACGATCACCCAGACCCTGGCTGAAGACTTTGTACATCTTGGCGTATCTTTCAAGCACCTGGCGATCCTCAGAGACGGTGGCGGTCAGAGCTGAGCAGGGCACGCGCACAGCCATGTCGTATCTGGTAAGAACATTGTCGGAGCGAAGGATAAAGGCAGCGTCGAATTGGTCGAAAAGGTTGTCGCCGAGCATCTTGAGAGTGGTGCGAGCTTCGGCGCGGAGGTGCTGGTATGACCATGAAGTCATCTTGTAGAGAAGGTTCTGGCCGCGAGGACCATCGTAGAGGACAGGCTGACCGTTCTCAGACGTGACGGATAGACCAGCAGCATCAAGAAGAGCGGGTTCCTTTGCGAGATCCTTCACGGCAAGATATTGAAGAGTAGCCTTGAACAACTGGTAACTGCTGTAGCCGCTCGACAAGACAGGCTTGCCCGAGCCGGCGCCCGTTCTGAGGAGGTTGGCCATGGTAGCCGCAAATTCAAAGTTGCCAAATCCTCCCTTGTTTGACTCGGAAGCAAGACCGCGCTGTCTCAACCAGACACGACCAAGCATACAGGCGTCTGTGTATCCTTCACAGGAAGCAGAAGAACCATGTAGCAACTTCAGGTAGGAGGTGATGTGGCTGTCGGATTGGATGGATGCGTTGTAGAATGGTGTGGCAGGAAGGTCCTGAGCCTGGTCATCATCGCCAGATTGAGCGGGACGAACACAGTTCTTGCTAGGCAGAAGCTTGCTGTTGGAGAAGGTACCCTCGGGAATGCCAGGGATGATGTTGATGCGCCAGTTGTTCTCGGAAGTCGACTCCTTGGGCTGGACCAGCAGGACGGGGTGCAGAGGGTTGTTGCGGAAATTGACGAATTGGAAGACAAAGTCCTTGAGGGATGACTTGAGACCGGCAGCAATACAGGCGAGGTAGAAAGCACGCTTGTAGAAGTAGCGGTGGTTCAGGTAATCCTTCTCTTGGAATAGCGACTTGGGCATGGTGACGAGCATATCAATCGAGAGCGGGGCCTGGCGGTCGCGAAGAGACAGCTTGAGAGGGAAACTTCCGACGACATTGATGTTCTGAGGCTTCTCGTACGCAAGCTTGTACTTGACGTCGTGAGCAGGACGAGGCTCAGGGAAGGGGATTGCGACCTTTGACTTCTTGATCAGGTCGCGTTCGGCTTCGAGCAGAGGAAGAGGCTCTCTGTTGGGGATCGCATCCATCTGCTTCTTGAGCTTGTGCAAAGCCTCGGCAGCTGTAGCCTCTCTCTTTCCCTGTCTTGGGCGAATGTTCTGCAGCATCTGGTCGACCTGTAGCTTGAACATGTTGCTCTTGAAGGTGCCTCCGGTGTAGGCGGCGCTGCTTGCCTCGAGTGACGATGCTTGCGACTTGTTGCTCTTTGTTTTTTGCGCCTTGTTGTCCTTGGCCTTTACAACCTTCTCTTGTACCTCTTCCTCCTCTTCGCTCTCGTCCTCGTCCTCATCCATATCATCTGCGCCGACGTCTGCCTCTTCCATGTCGTCGTCCTGGCTCACATCATCTTCCTCGACGTCTTCGACCTGGTTTCCGGATGCGATCGAGGCGTCGTCATCTTCGACGGGTGACGGTGAGTGACTGAGCTTTCTTCTCTTGCTTGATGGGACTGCCATATCTATGTTGTGTACGTCGAATGGATTGCGACAAGATAAATCGCAGCTTCTGTGAGGCGCAAATCATGCCAAGCTCGACTTTTTCTCAAGTCGATTCTGCCGCGGTTGAGATAAGAAGGCGGTCGCGATAAGCATCCGATACCCGCACCCCGGATTGGAACAACTTCGCCGCGACTGGCTGTAACAGACTCATTGTTCAGAACGGCCACGACACTCCTATCAAGCAATGCTAGTATAGACCCTCCCTCAAGTATGGCAGACCGACGGAATCCGGTTTGGAGGCTCGCCGAACGGGGTATCTACATCCGGAAGGTTTAGTCGAAAGAGCACGGCAACATTCACAATGATGGTCAATTGTCGGTATCAGAAGCATGCCAGTGGAATACAAGTAGGGAGGTCGCAGACTACCTCTGGATTTCAACCACTTTGGACAAAATCTGCGGCTCAATTCACCTCAAAACTCCATCATGGTTCAAACTGCTACTGCGACCTGCTTTTGTGGCCCTGTAAAACTCGAACTGGTACGAAGCATATACTCACCTCGCCTGCATGCTTTTGCTGATCACAAGTCATAGCCAGTATAAGGTCCGGACTTCCTGTTTGCCTTCGTCTGCCACTGCACTGATTGCCGCAAACTCACATCCTCCATGTTCATCTCTGGCTTTGCAGTCAACAATGCCGCCATGAAGCACATGCGCGGCGAGGAAAAGCTCACCAAGTACTCCCAAAAGAAGACCACCGAATCTGGCAACTGCATGACAGATTTTTTCTGTTCGGTTTGTGGAACACTGATGTATAGAAGAAGCTCTGGGTACCCCGAGATGTCTCTGCCACGCATTGGGACTGTGGATGACCTCGAGTTGCACGAGACTAAGCTTAAGCCTCAGCTCGAGGTGTTCTGCAAGAATCGTGTGAGTTGGTTCAATGGTGTTGAGGGTGCGAAGCAGAGTCAGGGTGGCCAGTGATTTAGGTCGAAGAGCTTTTGGGTTGAAACAGAGGAGTAGAAGCGGGCTCGCTACATGTATACTCTCTCATGTGTTGTTGCAATCAATTGCAAAGATGCAAGAAATAGGCATCGGTGTAAACATGCTTATCTGCCGCAGTAGCCTCAATCGATGGTCGTATTGGACGAGAACTGAATAGATGCAAGTACAAGACTCAAAAGTGATGATCAAGACAGTCGTGGAATATCCGAATGGTCGAGTGAAGACTGTGGAGATAGAATATCAGCTTGAGATGGTGTTCACATGAGGAAGCGGCAGCGATAAGGCATCATCGCCGACATCGCGGGACGATAGCGCCGCGTGGGGCACTTCAGAGAGGCGTTTCCGTCAGAGTCATCAAGATAATCTATTGTTTGGCCTTGCTGACCTTTCTCTTCCAAACTTTCTTTGACTTCGTTACACAAACACGATCATGCCAGTGCCTCTCAAGTTCAACGACAATGTTGGCGAGACGATTCCCGCAGACACTCCCCATGTAGCCACCCCACATTCCCCGGTATACGACTTCGACTAACACTCAACACAGGCAGTCAGTGTGTCTCTTCCGACATGGGCGGCCAACGTAGGATACGAAGAGGGCCAGAAATGGGTCATGGACAAGATGAAGTGTGGTTACCCCCGATTCTTCATTCACAAGAGCATCGACCGTCTCGCCACTGAAATCGTCAAGCGCCATGGCAACCCATCACAAAAGGCCATGCTGTTCCCCACTCACAAGGTCGCCAATCGTTGTCTTGAATTCATGCATCGCATGGCTCCCGATTCACAAGGCTCCGCTCGTGTCATCGACTTTGTACCGAACTCGAAGACGGAATCGCATGACGAGTCGCAACGCGTTCTACCCCGTCTCTCCGCCGTCCTCTACCCCGCCGAGCATTGGCCCGTCGCAAAGCAAGTTTGGCAACACAGCGGTGATGGTGTATCCAGCAGAAGAGCAGAGTTCCTCGAGAAGCATCTCCTCGATGGCACCATGGTCGACAAGGCTTCCATCTACGACAAGCCGCGCAAGGGTCCTCGCCGATACCAACGCCAGATGTCAATTGACACTCCCCACCAATCACCCCCCTCCGAGAACGACGACAAGGACGGTACCGACCCCTTCGCTTTCGTCGAGGAACGCTTCGGTCGCAACTTGAACGTCCAATTCGCAAAACAAGCAAAGCTTGCCATCCGCCGTCGCATTGCTGGATCCTTGACTTCAGATGTCGACTTGCAGGAGGCTTTGAAACACCCCGAAGATGTCGAGCGTACTAGAAGTGCCGAAGGTTTCTCGGTCGATGATGTATTCCTTTACCCCACAGGAATGAGTGCCATCTTCAACACGCATCGCAGCATGATGGCAATCCGCCCCAAGAACAAGAGCATCAGTTATGGTTTCCCATACGTCGACACATTGAAGATTCTGGAAAAGTGGGGTCCTGGCGCTCTCTTCTACGGCAACGGCGAGCAAGACGATCTGGATGACCTGGAGAAGCGTCTCGAGTCTGGTGAGCGCTTTCTCGGTCTGTTCTGCGAGTTCCCCAGCAACCCGTTGTTGAAGTGTCCCAACTTGCAACGCATTCGTCAATTGGCCGACAAGTACGACTTTGCTGTTGTCATCGACGAGACCATCGGCAATTTCTTGAACGTCCATGTCTTGCCGTACGCCGATGTCGTTGTAAGCAGTTTGACCAAGGTCTTTTCAGGAGATAGTAATGTCATGGGAGGATCTGCCATCTTGAACCCCGCAGGTCGTTACTACGACACCTTGAAGAAATACCTAGCTCAGGACTACGAGGACAACTTCTTCGAGGAAGACGCCATGTTCCTCGAACGCAACAGCAGAGACTTTGTGGTCCGCATCGCCCGTATTAACACCAACGCCGAGGCCATCTGCGAAGTCTTGATGCAACATCCTCGCATCAAGCAAGTCAACTACCCCAAGCACGCACCGACGAGAAAGTACTATGATGCATGCAGACTACCCAATGGTGGGTATGGAGGCCTGCTATCTGCGACATTTCACTCCATGGACGATGCTATGGTCTTCTATGATAATCTGGACACAGCAAAGGGGCCTTCATTGGGCACGAATTTCACTCTCAGCTCACCCTTTGCCCTACTAGCACATTACACCGAGCTCGACTGGGCTGCCAGCTTTGGTGTCGAGGCCAACCTTGTTCGTTTCAGTGTTGGTCTTGAAGACACTGAAGCTCTGAAGAAGGTCTTCCAGACTGCACTCGATGCTATAATTGAATCCGACACCAACGGCAATGGAGTGCAGGCATAACTGCCGGAATCATTGACTGCTTATCCCGAGGCTGAGGGAATACATTTGAACATACAGCTGGCATACACGAGTGGTTTGAGTTTTGTACATATTTGGAGCGAAAAAGCATTAACGTTTATATGAGAATGAACACAAGTTTCAAAGATGATCTATCTTGCCAAATCAAATCGAACGTACGGTGATACCGAGGGTCTGGATCAAAGGCGTCCTTGTCCCGTCTGCAGCTTCGGTTATCGAGACAAGTTGATGGATGACATTGATTGGACGATCTGAAAAGTGACAGTCACGATAGTCACACACCGATCGATACAGCAGGGCTTGCATAACCAAACAGAAGGCTGCACGCTGTGTCCTTGTCGAGGGCTGCATGCATGGTGAGCGATGCAGTCGACATGTTTGTCGCATGCAGGAGACAGCCGACATGACAAGCCAACCACGTTTGCCGCCAACGTCTTTCTTCAGCTGCAATGGATGCAAGCGATGAATAGCTATCCAACAAGATGACTGAAGACACGACGATTTGAACTTGACACGAGATGAGTGGCCTGTCAGAAGAACAGTCGTGATGGCTTCGAGACAGAAGGATTTGGCATGCCTCGTGTCTGATCTCAGATGGCACGTTTAGCGAATCTGAAATCTAGCGGCTGCTCGATCTGGAGATCTTGCATGGAGGGGTGAGTGAGATGGCCGATCGAAGGCTTGCAGGATTTTCGGCCAAACGATCATCACCGGTTGGTGGTTTCTACAACAAGATCATGTTTCCCTGTCATCTAGACAGAGCAGATTACTTTTCCACAACAAGTGCATCGGAAGAACAGAGTCAACGGGGTTGATACTTGTCACATCTTTGACCCCGAGAGTCCGGGATCTAATTTGGTGGTCAGTGCACGATCTGTCGCCCCGCAAAAGATCAGCCAATCGGAGGTTTGAAAATCCTCGAGAGATCAAAAAAACATTGCCGGCGAAAAGTGTCAAACGACTTGGTGAACGTCATCGCGTTACTGGTTATCACTCTCCGTTCGCCTTGGCCCCTTGGTCCACATCACTCGACTGCCCAGGATCATCTCATCACACCGTCGACCATCACCGTGCTGACAAGATGCCTCGCGAGTTGAAGAAGAGAGGCCGCAGAGGCGAGGAGAAGAAGAGAAAGCTTGAAGAAGAGGAGGATGTCCAAGAAGATTTCGCACAGCCCAAGCGACAGAGAACCGAAGACGGTGTCGACGGTGTTGATGCCATCGATGAGGCCGCAGAACAGCAGGACTTTGTTGGACTTCCTCAGGATGGCGCATACACCAACGGCGATCATCAGGATGGTGAGGGTCAAGGCCCGCCCCAGGAGCAGGTCTTCTTCGGTATGCTGGACGAGGACGAGCAGGAATACTTCAAGCGCGCCGACGAGATGCTCGAGATGAACAACTTTGCCGATGCCGAAGAGAGAAGCCTTTTCCTGGCCAACGTCTACCGCGAGGCCAATGGCAAGGAACTCAAGATCGCCAACAGCCAGTCTTGCTCGAGACTGATGGAGAGACTGATCCAGTTGTCGACACCTGCGCAACTCAAGACATTGTTCCAAAAGTTCAGCGGAAAGTGAGTTGATCATTACGAAGACTTCCATGGTCGCATTACTGATTCGTTATCTCAGCTTCATGCACCTGTTCCAACACCGCTTCGCTTCGCATTGTTGTGAGAAGCTCTTCATCCAAGCCGCGCCTGCCGTCACACAAGAATTGCTCCACCCACCCAAGGCCCAGGACCTGACGACCGACGATGGCGAAATCTACGTCAGCATGGAAGACCTCTTCCTTTTCACACTCGGGGAGATGGAAGGCAATGTTGGTTTCCTCATGACCGATCGCTTCGCCTCTCATACCCTCCGCGTTTTGCTCCTCGTCTTGGCCGGCGAGCCTTTGTCAGACTCAACCAACAAATCTTTGATGCAAAGCAAGAAGAAGGAACATGTCACCGTCAATGGCGACAAGGAAGATGCTACAACCACAAAGGACAAGGAAGATCGTCGCCCTGTCCCCAAGTCCTTCACCGAGGCTCTTGAAAAGCTCATGACTGCCAGTGTTTCTGGCCTGGACACGACTAGCCTTCGCGCCCTTGCCACACATCAACTCGGCAACCCTGCTCTGCAACTCTTGATGAGAATCGAGCTTACTCACTTCGGCAAGTCAAAAGCAAAAGACGAGACCTCCATCTTCCGCACTCTTCTGCCCGACGACCCAATCACTCCTGAATGCGACAGCGCTAGCTTCATCAACGGCCTTCTCTTCGACCCCATTGGTTCTCACCTTATCGAATGTATCGTTGAACACGCTCCCGGAAAGATGTTCAAGAGCTTGTATAGAGGTCTCCTGAAGGATCGCATGGCATCTCTGGCCCGTAATGAAATTGCCTGCTATGTCGTCTGCAAAGTTCTCGAAAGATTGAGCAAGGACGATCTGATGGAGGCTCATGAGCAAATCTGCCCTCAAATTCCCAGTCTGCTCGAGCGCAACCGTTTCGCAGTTGTCAAGACCTTGATCGCCAGATGTGCTGTGAGAGAAATTGACAGCCAGGTCATTGCAGTACAACTGAGCGAGGCATACAACGGTCCCGAAGGCTTCGACGTTGTGAAGTTGCTAAAGCCCGATACTGATGAGCCGGCACAGAATGGGAACGCAGTCCCTGAAGGTATGCCTGCACACATTGCCGAAGAGCGCGCAAACCCGCACACCATCAAGCTCCAAGGCTCCCTTCTCGCACAATGCATGATCTTAGTTCCTGGTGCCTTGAGCAGTTTGATTCTCGAGAGCTTAGCTGCTCTGCCACCATCAACCCTACTGAAGATGTCTCGCGACACCATGATCTGCCGCACATTGCAAGCAGCCATGACATCTCACAACGCCAGCATCATCTCCCGCCGAAAACTGATCCAACAATTCTTTGGCCACATTGGTGAGATGGCACTAGACAGATGCGCGTCCCGTGTCGTGGATGCCATCTGGGAAGGCACCCACGGTCTCGCCTTCATCCGCGAACGCATCGCCGAAGAATTGAACGAGAATGAAGCCGCTCTCCGCGACAATCCCTGCGGCCGTGCCGTCTGGAAAAACTGGAAAATGGATCTCTACAAACGCAGACGCGGCGAATGGGTCAAGCAATCCAAGATCAAGGCTTCAAATGACGGATTCCAATCATTCTCAGAAGTCGACACAAATCTGAAGAATGCGAATGCACACAGCACACATGCCAACAAGAAAACACCGATAAACGGACCTCGCGCTCCTGCACAAGCACAACAAGGAGGAGAGAAGAAGTCAGCCATCCAATTGGCCAGAGAAAGACACGCAGCCAACAAGGCCAGATCGCAAGAAGCGAGACAAAAAGCCGCGACTGCTGGAAGTAGACCCGCTGGCTCTTCTAATGCCAGTAAGCACGCTTCCGGTGCGAATGCGATCAGCAGCACCAAGGTGTAATCGTCACATGTCTATAGGATTGGGAAAATGGAGTTTTCATCATACAGTGGTATCTAGCTTTGTTCTTTGTGGTTTCGGTGTATAGGAGATTACCCTAGAAATGTCTTTTCTTTGTCATGTCTGACTTGACTGATTTTTCATCTTCACTATCGTTGTGACTTGTTTCTTCAATTTGTATCTAATTGACCGTTCACTGCAGAGCAGATATCATCAATGGTTCAAGTACAGTAAGAATGCTTAGTCCATATCTCAGAAAAAGGTGAGGTCGAATGTCGCCGACCCTCACGACTCGGAAAGTCAAGAAGTGGTAAGTGATCGGCGATATTCGGTGATAACGCGAGATGTCGTCAGACACATATTTTCTCGATGTCGGTGTCATTGGGAAACAACAAAACAACATATAACTCGAGAGCTTCCCGCACTTTTCGAGTCGATTGCATTTGTTCTGCATTATTATCATGACATCTTTACCTTCCAGACCGGCAGAGGAGAAGCCATTGGAGAGAGCGGATGAGGTTCAGGATGTATGAATCATCAAGGCTTCTAAACCACGCATGCAAGGAAACGCAATCGCTAATGGACCTCACAGCTCCTCAACTCGATTCAAGAACTCATCATTCCCTTCATTCGTTCCGCCGACGATGATGCCGCAACCAAACATACTGGCCATGGTCTGCAAGTCGAAGGCCAAGGTCCCCGCACCGCTCTCGTCGAACACCACCCTCCTCAGAAACTAAAGTCGCTCTTCGATGTTCAGCTTCCGGAAAATGCTGAAGGGAAAAAGGGGCTTCTCGATGTAGTCGAGAAACTTCTGAAGTACAGCGTCAACACTTGGGATCAAGGATTCATGGATAAACTATACGCATCCACCAATGCTGTTGGCGTGGTCACGGAATTACTGCTTGCGGTGTTGAATACAAACCTCCACGTCTATCAGGTTTCTCCTGCATTGACGTTGATTGAGAAACAGACGTCCAAAGCACTCGCCGGTCTTTACGGTTTCACTGGTGCGCATGGTGGTGGTATTTCGCAACCTGGTGGTTCGGCTAGCAATGCTACGTCTATTGCTATTGCGAGAAACACTCTGCATCCGGAGACAAAAGTTGACGGAATCAATGGAAGGAGATTCACCCTGTTCACTTCAGCACATGGACATTACTCGTTGGAAAAGGCTGCACAAATGTTCGGCTTTGGAAGCAGCGCCGTCATTGGCGTTGCCGTAGATGAGCAAGGAAGAATGGATCCCGCAGCCCTGGATGCCGCTGTTCAGAAATCAAAGGATGCCGGCGATGTTCCTTTCTACGTCAATGCTACTGCCGGAACCACTGTTCTTGGTAGCTACGACCCCATCGGCCCCATCGCAGACGTCTGCGAAAAGCACAAACTCTGGCTTCATATCGATGGTTCCTGGGGTGGTCCGGTCATCTTCAGCGCCGCTCACAAGCACAAAGTCAAGGATATCCACCGCGCAGACAGCATCGGCGTCACACCGCATAAAATGCTTGCAGTACCGATGACTTGTTCTTTCCTTCTCGGCAAAGACATGAGACAATTCCAGCGTGCCATGACACTTCCTGCTGGCTACCTCTTCCACAACTCCGAGGAAGAAGAGGATGGATCCGCCGCTGATACCACGACTCTGGACTCCAAACCTTCCGTCCAAGAAGAACGCCCGGAAGCAGAGATTTTCGATCTGGCAGACTTGACACCGCAATGCGGTCGCAGAGGAGACGCACTCAAACTCGCCTTATCCTGGATCTACTACGGCAGCTCCGGCTTCGAAACCTCCATCGACAACGCCTTCGCCGCAGCCTCCACTCTGGCCTCTCTGGTCCAAGAAAACCCTGCTTTCACATTGGTATCCGAGAACCCGCCTCCATGCTGGCAAGTCTGTTTCTACTACAACAAACAAGAAGGTGTGGGACACAGAAACAAGAATTCAAAGACGACGGAAAGGATTGCGCAAAAATTGATTCCTAGAGGGTTTATGGTTGATTATGCGCCAGGGGAGGACGGCAAGTTTTTCCGTGTTGTGGTTAATAGTCAGACTAGACGTGGTACTCTGGAGGGATTGGTCAAGGCTATTGAGGAGGTTGGAAAGGAGTTGAAGGTATAGAAAAGTCATAGATGTGAGAAACGATAGATACTACATGTTACCATTCGAGCCTTGTCATGTCCAACTTGACGATCAGTCAAGACCTGCTCGAAATGGGGGATCTTCGCAGGAACTTTGAGTCAATTGAATCGTTCCCTGCGTCCATGATTTGTTTGAGCTACACCATGAGAAATCGGGGACATCGTCTTGGGGACTTGTCTTTTTGAGAGCAATTCCTGATCTCGTCAATGATCAAATCTCCATGTCATCGCTGATCGACCAGATTGTAAGATCGATACTTGCGTCCAGGGTGGCCCCAAAAGCATGCCGGGTGTGGAACTGCCGAGGATCTCGGCATCGTGGACGTCCGCAATCTCCGCAACTAAATACACCATGGCACGCGACCATTGAGTAAAAGCATCATCTATCCTTGATCTGTCTTGCTATTCCCACGAGTCTGTTCCCGTATTCCTGTGCTTGTATCCCTCTCTTTGCATTCTCGGGGCATTGGAAGACACCGAACAAACAGGGCCAGCCTATCATTGACCAAAGCAATCGGACCACCATTCCGTCCCCTCGAACCACCAGCACAATATCTCGTTAACAGGATCCATCAATCATGACCACCACAGCAGCAACAACACCAATCAAAGCGGACACTCCAGCCCCAGCAACATCACCACCGAGACCCCTACTCACCCGCCTCCACCTCTGGCTCCGCCTCTGGACCTTGAAACTCACAATCCGCACCCTCCTCTCCACCGTCCGCTTTTTCAAGATCAAAGGCTATGGCACCTTACAACCCACATACCGCAAAACCTACCCCATCGGCGCTCGCCTGATCAATGACGTTTGGATCCCGAGCAGTTGGAAACCAGGACAATCATTACCTTTATACATTGATATCCACGGCGGTGGTTTTGCTCTAGGCGACCCTTTCCACGATGATGGATGGTGTAATTACCTCGCCGAAAAACAGAATATCTGCGTCGTCAGTTGTGATTATCGCAAATCACCCGGCTACTATTTCCCCACGCAAACCAATGATCTCGTGGAAATCATCACGTCTATTCTCGATGATGAGACTCTTCCCGTGGATAAATCTAAAATATGCATAGGAGGTTTTTCCGCGGGAGGAAATTTATCGCTTTCGGTGGTGCAGGATAAACAGCTACAGGGCAAAATCAAGGGGTTGTGTTTGTGGTACCCTTCTACTGATTTCAGTGGGAAATTCAAGGGAAAGATGAGGGATGGTCCAGATGGTTCTCCAGACGTCCTAGCCAAAAGTGGAGAATTATTTACCTACGGTTACGTTCCTGAAGGAGTGGACAAAACAAACCCACTGCTCTCACCCATTTACGCAGATCGCAGCATTTTGCCGGAGAAAATGCTATTCATAGGTGCCGAATACGACGTCCTATGCAACGAAGCATTGGAAGCAGCAAAACTGTTTGCCGCAGCTGAACAAGCGGAAAGGGAAGATGGAAATGTGGAAGAGGATGATAGGCAAGGGGTGGAAAGTTGGAGGAAGGGGGGTGTTTGGTGGGAAATGGTCAAGGGGGTGCAGCATGGGTTTAATTATATTAGGAAGAAGGAGGGTGGGGCTGAGAGGGAGAGGGAGAGGGTTACGGAAATGGCTTATGAGAGGGCTGCTGCTTGGTTGAAGAGGGAGATTTATGCTTGATGGGAGGTGTGTGGGTTTGAAGTTGAGGGGTGTGTATAGTCATGGACACTCATGTGAGCGATATACGATTCAAAGTGGAGATAGTTGCTTCGTTCGGACATGGGAAATGGAAGTGCGACTGGATGTTTTGCACTGGAAGACTATAAGTTCGAGCGTCAGGAAGAAAAACTTCTCACATTTCATTTTGGTATACTATTCTGCATCTGAAGAACGCCAGCGTTCCTATCCCCGAGCAGTTCCTCGGTACTGTCTGAATCGCAATACAACAAAAGTAAAAACACCTCGACCTAGCATATATCTAACCATTCAAAATGACTTAAGCGTTGAGCTTGCCGAGAACAAACTTGGCACCCATGCTCTGCACGGTAGCATCGTTGGGGTAAGAGAGATGTTGAGCGTTAATACCCTGTCCGTGGGTAGTGTCGCAAACACCATCGCCGTACTTGCAGACATCCTGGGTTCTGGAGATCCAACCAGAAGGAATGCTGTTCGAGCCAGGGTATTGCGAGATACCGTTGACATTCAGAGTGGTAGTGCCACCAGTGCTGTCGATGTTGCAAGTCAGACCGGCCTTGTGCAGCGGGTCACCGATGAGCCAGACACCCTTGACAGCAGTGTTGGCGGTACCGGTCAACTTGGGGAGAGCGTTGACGGTGGCGGCAGCACCCTGAGAGTATCCCTCGAGGATGAAGCACTCGTTGGGGCTTGTGCGGAGGGTGGTGGTGATCTTGTTGACAATGTCGGCGGTACCGGCGGCGGAGTTCTGGCTGTAGTCGGCGGCGTAGACGGTGTTGTAGACCTTGCCACCGGACTTTGAGGAGAGAATGTTGCTGTTCATGGTTCTGAAACCTGCGGAGGGACCTTGGGCTTCACCGGTACCTCTGGTGTTGATGATGGTGTAGCTGGAGCAACCTGACTGACGAGTGTCAAGCTCGATGGGGCTGGCGGCGGCCAATCCAAGGATGGAGGCTCCGGCGAGGATGCTGTTGGTGAAGTGCATGATTGTGGTGGTGTAGGAAAAGATTGTTGGAGTTGAACGAAAGTAGTGGACGAATGAATGATGATAAGTCGTTCTTCTTGGGCATTTCGCACTGCTTATATATCTCTCGATGAGTGACCATCAATGCCTAAAGCATTAGGCCACCCGGTACACACACTACTAACCTTGATCTCCATGCTGTGAGTCGTGCTTGTATGGCTGTTCACTAACAGAATTAGTGTTTCACCCCACGCCACCATCACAAGCAGCATTGGTCTCGAACCTTGCTCTTCTGCCACAGCACGATGGTGGCTGCGATATCGCCATGCACCTCCATCGACGAAGAATCGAAGATCACTGGGGGGCCTACCTTGGCAAGCGACAACGTGCTCGCCATCCATGCGCGAGGATCCAATCAGTCAGAACGAGCCTCAACCTTGTTTCAACCTTCACCTGTCATGGGCTACCTAGGGCAAGGACTTATACGCACGTAGCCGCAAACGTGTCTGTCCTGGAAGCCACATGAGATGTGTAAAAAATTGGTACACAGCTGTCGACCCATGAGTCAGATATGGATAAGATTGCTGGTGCATTTGGGCCATGGACAAAGCTTATAGGCGATTCGAACTCGAGTTAGACGGATCTGCAGTACCTGCCAGTAGTAGGGTTGCGTTTTGATAGCGACTGTAGATTAGCAATAGCTATAGCTATTGATAGCGACAGGATAGCGACATAGCTATCCCCGTGCGCGATTTTCGCCACCTAGAGCTTGCCCGTTTTAGGGGTAGATATGCTAGTTAAATCGTCATTTTAGCGGGTTAGAGTGGGTCAATATGACGTCGATTCGGGAGATTATTAGCTATCTAACCCATTAACTCTAAATACATCTCTTGTTATTTAACTAAATGGTTTGCTTAGCGGTAGCGAGTTACTAGGAGGTTAGTTCTCTTAGTCCTTAGTGCCGCCGATAGTAGATAGATCTAAGTTACAAAGGGCTCGTACGGAGGAGGTATAAGACGGTGTTTCTAAGGAGGCTCTAAAGTTACGAGGGTTAAAGTTATAAGGGTCGAAGTTACGAGGGTCGATATTAGAGTTATAAAGCGGTAGAAGCGTTAGTATAGAGGAGCCGAAGGAGGCTATTAAATAAGTAGAACTTAGAGGTGTTATAAGGGACGATAAATCGACATAGCGGCGCTTACGTAGAGTAGTAACTAGTATTAATAACGGAGGCAGTTAAAAATAGTGTAGTCCTAGCACACTTAGAGGAGTTGCAACTCTATTGCAATATAGTAAGGTTCTATTATAGATAGGTCTACAATAGACTATAACAAGTAAGGGGATGACAAGGTTAACTTAGCATCCTAACGCCTTAGTAGAGTAAGATGTTCTTAATAGATTACGCCCGTAGATACTCTTCTTCTCTTCAATTAATTAATTACTACGCTATATACTATTAGCACGCTTTCACTAGCAAAGGTCGCGTCTCTACCTTCGGTTAATTCTATAGGCTCTAGGATTACTTCCCTACGCTAGCTAGAGTATTTTATGNACTAATAATTCCTCTCTATTTAGTGAACCTCCTATAACTATAAGGCGAACAACGATCGCTATTAGTAGAGGGAAGCTCTTTTTAACAAAGAGAGGAGTTATAGATATAATAGACCATAGAGGAGGGAGAGGAGTTATAGATATAATGGACCGTAGAGGAGGGAGATTTAGATTAAAAGATGTTCTACTAGTTCCTAAACTTAGAGTTAATTTGCTTTCTAGGAGAAAATTGTATAAAGCTAGTTTAAAAGGAAGCTTTAACTTATAGAACATATACTACCTTAATAAGGACAGTAACACTATTCTATATATAAAGGAGAGGGGAGGAATCTATATCCTAGATTCTATCTTACTAAAGCTAGCTTAGACAAAATCAAATTAATAGGCTTTTATAGCAACTTAGTCCTAACTAGATAGTCTACTTAAAAGAAATGTTATAACACCTATAAAGGACGTTATAGTACCTACAATAGTTGCACCTAAGGCTCTTCCTTTAATTTAAGAAGATGAAGCTAAAAGTGAATCTAATTCTAATGCTAATGCTTCTAATAAGAGAGATGTAGACAACTATATGCTATATTACTAGAGATTTGCCCACCTTAGATCTATAAAGATTGCAAACCTACATAAGGTTACAACTATAGCTAAAGTAGTCAAAGTTGTTAAGCATATATGCTAGACTTGCACACTAACAAAATTCTGCAAGTTAAAAGGTAAAGTATTAGCTAGAAAAGAACACCCCCTAGAAAGGGTATCTATTAATATATGTAGACTATTCCCTACCTCTAGAGAAGGCTTTACCTAGGCAATAGTTATTAAAGATGACTACATAAGAATGTCCTAGATGATCCCTATTAAGGAGAGAAAGGAATGCCCTAATAGGCTTATAACCTAGAAGATTTAAGTTAAGAGACAGTCTAGCTATCTTCTTAAGAGTGTTAGACTTAATAATGCAAAGGAACTAGTAAAACATTTCTCTAGACTTAAAGAACAGTATAGAATCGAAGCTTAGATAACAATCCTATACACCTTAACATAGAATAGTCTAGTTAAGAGGGAAAACTAATAGATCGAAAATGATATAAGAGCCCTCCTTAAGGACTTAGGCCTACTAGCAGAATTCTAGGTAGAAGCCTATTAAGTAGGCATCTATATTAGAAATCGGACATCAAATGGACTAGTCATTAATGATCACCTTATAAGCCTATATAAAGCTTTTACTAGAAGAACCCTAAACATAGATTACATTAGAGTCTAGGGTTATAAGGTT